GAACCAAAAGTATGGACAAGCCCTGTGCACTTCAATTGAGCTCTCCACAGGATTAGAATATTAAAATGCCACAATGGGTCAAATATTCCAAAGTAGCTGATTTGGCATGCATATTTTTCTAATTCACAGCACTTGGCTGTATTGTGAACTCAGCTTTTATGGTCCATACCCCTGAAGTTGTTCTTCTGTTTCAAATGTGAAATGATATTCTGCACGCGTGGGATTAGTGTTATTAGAGTCATAGGTGTAGATGTACACATAGGTTTGTTTTTCAAGCTAACCCCCTCCTGTTTATAAAGTGTTTGCTGATTTGTATGCAGTATGATTTGTACTTCTTAGAATAGACACATGATTCAGTATGGTGCTGACTCAAATGAATAAAATGGTGGTGCCATTGCAACAGTTCTTGCGCCATTGCAACAGTAGCTGCTACTCTGGTGATGTGTGTGGTATCAAACTAAATAAAAGTGTCTATTGAGCAATACATATGTGCCACTATCAGCACATAGGTAATAATAATAATAATAATAATAATAATAATAATAATACTTTATTTATACCCCGCCACCATCTCCCCAAGGGACTCGGTGCGACTTAAATGAGGCCAAGCCCACAGTACATCAGTAAACAAAGGCAATAACAAAAACAATCAATACAAAACAATCAATATACTTGGTACATATAAGGTACATAGCAATCTGGTACAGACTCCCTGAAAAGCATGTGTGTTTCTGTTTTCGTAATCAGTGATTTGGCAGAAGAGTAGAGGAGAAAGGAAAACTCTGCACCCGGCATTTACTTGTGCATGTAGTCAGTTAGCAAGACACATATGACTCTCTTGTTACAAGCATTTAGTAATCTAAACTAAATTATCTCAGTAGCTTTAAAATGTTTGTTCTACATTGGCAGAGTAAATCATCCATCCTTCCAGATTTTACAGATTCCACCATTCACCATTGGATCAGGCTGCAGTTCTATTCATTCTAATTAAATGGCTTCTTTTGCTGTTCTACCATGCAGCTGACTAATTGCACATGGGTATGCATGCAGTTAGTCTACAAAGCAATAGCAGTGGCTGTTCAGAAGGCATCTGAACTGATCTTATATGATTGATACTCTATAGTTGGTTGGTTTGAATAAAAAGTAACTGGTAGACCTCAATATCATTTCAGTTAAATTATAGTTCAAAAGAGACACACTTTACTTCCAGTCCAGAAATTTGTTATTGTTTTTGTGGCTAAAAGTCAATTTTCACTCAACTTTGACTTTGACCTTATCATAGATTTTTGTGGCATAAATTTGGAGGAGGTCTGAGAGTGCACGATTTGCAAAGGCCACCCATTGGGTCTCCGTAGCTAAATGGTGATTGGAACCCCAGTTTTCTGAAGTCCTAGCTCAATTAGCCTTATAACCACTGTGTCACATTGGCTATATAGGCACAACTGTAATTATTTTATTTTAGGTTTGATTGCTTGTCTGCTACTACATAGTCAGTGATCATACTGAGTATGTAGTAGTTAAATGCAGGTTAATGGGATTTACTCTGATAAGTAAACTTGTGAACAAAGTGTGTAAATTGATGTGCAAAGTATATGAGAGAATTATAACTTTCAATAGCGACTTTTTGGATTACAACTCCTAGAAATCCATTGCTTACTTAATCAAATACATCTTGGGGTTGTAGTGCCAAGAAAGAAACTTTGCATACTTGTATGAGAAGCCTTATGCTCTTGTTAAGAGGCCATTGGAACATAGTGCATTGACAGATAACTGTCCTAATAATGTAAAAATATGAATCAATGCTGTTTTATCACTTTAGCACATTGGTGTGGGCATTCCCAAAATTAGAAAAAGGAGACCCTACGTCCAGGTAACTATGGATGGAGGTGACTGATAGTGTGTTCAAAGATGCATAGAGCTGAAGCTGAGATTATAGAGCTTCTGTTTAGCTTTCCAGGGGTGGGGCTAACTAGGCTGTTTATCAAACAGCTTCTAAAGCATGAAGCTTGCAAAATTAGTGTTGGATGCTTGTGAAGATGCTTCTGTGATGGTGTGTTGCTATTAACAGAGAATTAAATTTGTGCCTCAGTCACAATGATCAGAGATCAGGAGATTATCCCTTCTAGACTTATTTCACTGCCAACACAAAGTCCCTGCCCAGCTCCACTTGCCAAGTTTAAACTATTAGTTAATAGTTTTCAGCAATCTTGGTACTTTATTATTTTACATACTCTAGTCAGAAAAAGTGCACAATGAACAATAGAAGCAGTTTGTCCATTGTAACATTGCAACACAAAAGTTATTTTGAATTCAAAATTGTCCATCAACAATCACTAATGCTTGCTTTCACATCTAACTAGTAGGCCTGGGTAACAACGGAAAAATTTGTTTCTAAAATCGATTTGTATTTGGGGTTTTTGCGTTTCGTTATTTAAAATAATTACAAAATTTTCCTTTTAAAAAGTTCGATATTTACGAAATTTCGTAAATGGTAAAAAATTAACGAATCGATTTCTGAAACAATAACGAATCGATTCGTTAATGGCGGGCGCGACCGCGAAATACGCTAAAAAACCTCCAAAACCTTCTGAAGCTTCCCTCTCCCTCTGTTGTTGACTGTTGGTGTGATATTATAATTTTTTTTCACTAATTAAACCATAAAACTGGCCCAGACATGCGGAAATAATAACGAAACGACCTCAAAACAATAACGAAACAAATACAATATCGAAATACGAAGCATTTACAAAACGTTTTTGAAAATTCGTTTTTTTAATAATTGCTCCAGAATGGTTCGTTATCGTTTTGTAATTGAAAAAATTAACGAATTATTAACGAATTACGAATTAACGAAACGAAACCGCCCAGCCCTACTAACTAGAAAAGATGGTTTGCTCTATACAGAGATACACCAAGACAATTCTCATACTTTGAAGAAAAATAAACATCCCAAAGGAATACCAAATTCAGTTTTCAAATTCCACTTTTATGTTACTGCACCAGTTTTGGCATTCCTTCTGTCCTTCATTTTTCTCTCATCAACTATAAAAAATATTCCTTTCCTGGTTACATAGCTGTGTGAGTTGCTTGCTTGGTTGCTTTTCTTTTAGTTCAATTGTTAACTGTGCTCTTGCATGACATTGTAACATTATGTCATTAGTCATGTTTTATAGCTATAGCTATAAGATACTTAGAAATTCAAATAATATTAAGTTGTTTTGTTAAAACAGCTCATCAAAATGTGAAATGAACAGTTAATTGGCGCCTAAAGCTTGGAATAAGCCACATATCTTTGGTTGAGAGGCATGGTTTCATTTTTTCATGTGATATCAACATTGTCAGAGTTCTTGACTTGCTCTAACCCATTAATCTTCATTAAGACACACAAAACAAATTAAAAATCTGTCAGATTCACAAATATGCAAGTTAAACTATGGGAGGCTAAACATACACATCCAATTTTGACAAATGGTAGATAAAATCAAGGTGAAACTGTTGGAAAGGTGGCATCGTCTCTCATATGTGAACCCAAGGAACCAATCCACCACCAAGTTCTCTTGTACAATCCACATTAGCATTAATAAGACATGAGCAAGGTAATTCCCCATCAGGGTAGTTCATTGTTATTTCATCTTTATGCAGTTTAGTTGTCCTTACGTATAAAATTCTCTAGACCAGGATCCAAAGGGGAAATTCTGGTCACAGAACTGGTTCTGTCATAAAAATCAGAAGATGGAAATTCCCTCCTTCCCTTGTAGCTCTACGTGTACTACATATACTCATGTATAAGTCAAGGCAAGTTTTGGGACATGACCTATAGGAAAGTTGAGCATCATTCTCTAGTGCTGATTTAGAGACCAGTCAAACTTAATGGTCACTGTTTTTCTGGCCATTCATTCAAATGGCAGAAGCAGCATTGCAGTGAAAAGAATGGGTTAATACTTCTTTTAGGTTATCCTGGGATGAACTAAGCACTCCCATATTTTATTCAGAGAAGGAGATAGCCCCCACTATTTTTTTTTAAAAAAAATAAGGCCACAGTACTTGCATTAACCCCTGGATAAGTTAACTCAGTTATTGAGGGTTGGTTTTTTTGAATAACATCTCTAGAGTTATACATAAGTAGATATAATATGTCAAATCTTTTTCAGAGAAGATTTTGAAAAGGAACAATTAAGGGAGCAATATTGGATTTACACCATAGTATTTAAGAACATCAGCTGTGAATTGACTAAATAATAAGCAATTATTCAGGCTAGAAATTTTTCTTGAGTCACCAACCCGAGATTCCTTCGGTCTGAAGACCAAAATTTGCTTGAAGTCCCCAACATCTGGACTTATCATCTGTCCTCTACTAGGCAGAGAACCTTCTCGATTGTAGCCCCTTATTTATGGAATGCCTTGCCAGTTGAAACCCAATCTGTCCGAGACCTACTTGCTTTTCGGAAAGCCTGTAAAACCTTTCTCTTCCGACAAGCTTTCGATGGGTGAATAACTCGGGACTATGTCTGTTCTTGTTTTTATTGTATTTTAAAGTTAATTGTATTGTTTTAATCTATTGCTGTAAACCGCTCTGAGCCAAATTGGGAGTAGCGGTATACAAGTCAAATAAATAAATAATAACCATCCAAAAGGGTACAGAATGAGGAACTTGTGCAAGAGAATTTCCAAGTGGATTTTGACCTAAGGAATCCATGAGCTTTTTCTAGAAATACAACACAAGTTTAAGTGCTTGGATATTTATGTTCCATTAATTTTCATATATGTACGTTTCAACGATTGTCAAAGCTTTGGGATTCCTTCACTTTAACTTAACCGTCATTTTTAAGGGCATTTAAAACATGGTATTAGATGCAATTGAGCTTTAATGAGAGATCTTTAGATGTTCCTAATATAATCTTCAGGGATAGGTCTACTGTAAGCATGACTAATTCTGAATCTGACCCACTGATTTTATTTTCTGGCCTCTTTATCATTTTGTTTATCCTTGTTTATTTACTGGAATGGGACATGGACTGCAATACTACTTTTGCCACCACAATGCCTTCATGCATGCTGCCTGGGTATGATCCTTCTAAAGCCATTCCACTGCATGTAAGAACTTTATTATTTAAATTTGATTTGATTTTACATAGAATTAAACACTGAATGTTACATTGTTATCTTTTGTTTTAAAAAGTTTGTTATTCATTTTATAATTATTTGGCCTAAAGTTGATTTGCTCTATTATCCAGGTAAATAGTTTTATTTATTTGTTCAAATGAATAAGAAAATAGCACATTGAAATGCTTACTATGGAAGTCTGTTTGCTCTATTTCTCTTAATTTCTTTTTACACGGTCTGTTTAATTCATTTTATTTTTGCTTATTTTCTTACTCAAAGCCAATTTTTATTTTCCATTCATCCATCCATTCATTGTATGTATTTATTTTTAAATGGCAAGTATGTAGAGGTAACCTAAAAATTATAGAGCCATGCCATCTTTTATAAACATGCTTTAAAGGAATACAATGTGTTGGTATTGGGTTATTATATCTTATTTCAACCGCTAGCAGTCAGTCAGAAGAACTTCTACAAGGAGGAACAACCCTTCCTTATACATTGATTCTACTATTGTAAACTTGACAACTTTTTAGGTCCTAATGTATTATGTAAACATTGTATGCATGTTAGGCCAGGTAGTTCTCTATCTGATATATGTCTCTCTTTCTGCTTTCCACATTTTGACCATAGGTAACTAAGGGCAGAAACTCTACATGCATAGGCTTTCACTCAGTCTGGACTCTTGTATATAAAGGTTTATATATTACAACCCCCATATCCATGAGAAATACATTCCAAGAGTGAAACCATAGCTATCAAATCTGTGGATAAGGGATTCATACTGAAAGCCTAGGTCTCACCTTTTCACACATCAATATTACCTGAACCTGAGTTACAAATCCCAGTGAGATGTGTCATATAAATGATGGAAGGAGTTCAGACAACTCCATTCCTTCCTCATGCACTGCTTGCAGCACGCATGCAAAACAGTTGCAAAGGGCTTCATTCCAGGTGATTCAAAGAAATCATATGAGCATATCAGGCTCATAAGATAAAATCAGATATCTGAAGTTTATTTTTAAAAGTAGAGGTATGACATATTTATTAAATTAGTATTAAAACATCTGATTTTAAAACCTCTACTTTTAAAAATCAGATGTTTTAATACTAATTTAATAAATATGTCATACACAAGGGGCAATGTGTACTTTTTAGTAGGGTTGTGTGAATACATTCTGTATTCATTTTGAATTTTGGGTGCTCCTGTTTTTGGGAAGATTCTGGGAGATTAGGAGGGGGCCCATTTGGATTCGTAATTCAGAAACCTAGGTTCCGTTTCCATTTTGGAAAGAACCTTCCTGAAAACAGAAGGGGGGCACCCAAAAACAGAATGGATTTGGTGCCATTTCACATCCCTACTTTTTAGTTCTTGGAAACACAGTTGTAGAGAAACTTTACTAATGCTGAGCTTGCTTGTATTTCAACTTTTTTGCTGGCCTGGTTAAGACAAAGCTGAGAAAGTCGGCCTAGAAGGTTGTTTAGGCCTAGAAGGTTGAAGACATCTGTGTTATAGGAATGTCTGCAATAACATGTTTGTTGCAACCCATCTCGGAGGAGACAGACCTCCACAGTCTTCTCATGATTGGATATAGAGATGGAAAAGGCAATTAAACAAAGCTTCTTTAGACTACATTACAATATTCTGAGAGATAGGGCCTTCTCGGTGGTGGCTCCTCGGCTGTGGAACACCCTTCCCGTGGACATCAGGCTAGCCCCCTCCCTGTTGACCTTCCGCAGGAAGTTAAAGACCTGGCTATTTAAGAAAACATTTGACCAAGAAGTGCATTGACTGGCTATTTGACCATAGGAATGGAAAAACGGTAATGATATCGGATTGTGTGCTGACGATGAGACGATTCGGAATGTAGTAGAAATTTTGTAGGAATGTTGATGTTTTACTAAGATGTTTTTGGATAATGATGATTTGTAGATTGTTTTGCACTATGTTTTGTAAATTGCACTTGTTCTCATGTTGTACACCGCAATGAGTCGCCCCCGGGCTGAGAATTGCGGTATATAAGCGTAGTAAATAAATAAATAAATAAATAAATAAATAAATAATTCCGGCCTTAGGATGATCTGCCCCTTATGTAAGATAGGCTGGTTGTCTGACATGATTTGCAAATGTACTGGCCTTGTTAATGACTGACAAAGACCTTTTAAAAACTTTTGCAGACTATATATAGTAGAGCCTCGCTTATCCAACATAAACGGGCCGGCAGAACATTGAATAAGCGAAAATGTTGGATAATAAGGAGGGATTAAGGAAAAGCCTATTAAACATCAAATTACATTATGATTTTACAAATTAAGCTTCAAAACATCGTGTTTTACAACAAATCAACAGAAAAAGCAGTTAAATACATGGTAACATTATGTAGTAATTAGTGTATTTATGAATTTAGCACCAAAATATCACAATGTATTGAAACATTGTGAATCCGGGCGGAAGGCAGTCTATGTTGGATAATACAGAATGCTGGATAAGCAAAGGTTGGATAAACTAGTCTCTACTGTATATTCATGTATAATTCTAGAACTTTTATTCCAAAAATTAATCCCAAAACCTGAGTCAACCTTTCTATGGATTAATGTAAATTCCATACTTTAATTCTTATATAAAAAAGAACCATCTCCTTCTCTGAATAAAATAGTGAAAGGCAAGAGCTTTAGGAGGACCTAAAGGAGAACCTAAAAGAAGTACCAACCCCTTCTACTTTCTCTGTGGTGATTCTGACTTTTTCTTTTAATGCCTGGGTGAGAAAATGGCGGTAACATTCTTTGTGCTTCCCTTCAGTGGACTGCTGAGAAAATAGAGAGGGTTGGTGTTCCTTTAAAAAAATATTTTAGTTTTTTCTGAGATGGACTAAGATTTCACCTTTCACGACTCAGAGAAGGTGATGATTTCTTTTTTGATAAGAGTTACTATACCAAGTGGTAAAGGAGTTTTTTCAATGTCTGGGTGGAAAAATGGTGGCAAAAGCAAGTTGGTGCCATTCTCTCTCCATGGAATGACCCTTAACTTATCTGCGGGTCCTGTCAAAATCCATAGTTTTGACTCTGAATGTGACTTCAATATATACAAGAAACTGACTTATATTTAAGTATGTATGTTATGTCCTTCCCAATCCCCCATCTTCCTTTTGCCCATCCATTCTGTCTTATTTTACAATTAACTATTAGTTTAATTTGTTATTAACTAATAATTATTCGTTGCTTTGCCCTACAATGACATAATCCAGTTGTAAGTTCCAACTATTGAGTTAATAGAAACATTTAAAGTCAACAGTTATGTACATTCCACTGATTCAGTGAGTCTACTTTTATAATGATTAATAATAATAATAATAATAATAATAATAATAATAATAATAATAATTTATTTATTTATACCACGCCACCATCTCCACAAGGGGACTTGGGGTGGCTTACATGAGGCCAAGCCCAGAAGTATAACAATGCAAATGTACAACATAAGAATGCAACAATAAAATATATAAAATAAAATAAAATATGAGAAACATTATAAATAAACACATCAGACCATATCAAATCACAGTATTTGAACTCAGAGAATTAATCATAGTGGGCAGGGCCGGTTGCAAGGATTAAAAGTTTAAAAACACTGGATGAGAAGGCAATATAATGTAGCTGTAAAGGGGGGTCCGAGGGATGGAGTAGGGTTTAATTGCACTAACAGGTAAATAAAGTGCTTCTGGAGGCATTTATGCAGGGATTGGTCAGGTCAGGAGATTATTGTTCATTCATTCATTGAAGGCAAACTGGAACAGCCAAGTTTTCTTTCTGAAAACTGCCAGGGTGGGGGCTTGCCTGGGGAGTGAGTTCCAGAGTTCCAGAGTTCCAGAGACGAGGGGCCACCACAGAGAAGGTCCTCTCCCGCACTTGTGAAGGGGGCGGGAGCGAGAGAAGGGCCTCTCCGGAAGATCGAAGAGATCATGTAGGTTCATAAAACGAAATGCGGTCATACAGATAGGCGGGTCCCAAACCGTTCAGGGCTTTGTAGGTAAGAACCTGCCCCTTGAATTGGGACTGGAAAATAAATGGCAGCCAATGGAACTCCTCAAACAGGGGCATTGACCGCTCCCTGTAATTCGCACCAGTTAATAGTCTGGCTGCCGCTCGTTGGACCAGTTGAAATTTCTGGGCAGCCCCACATAGAGTGCATTGCAATAGCCCAGTCTAGAGGTAACTAAGGCATGGACCACCATGGCCAAATCTGTCTTCACGAGGTACAGTCGCAGCTGGCGCACAAGCTTCAATTGTGCAAAGGCTCTCCCAACCATCGCTGACGCCTGCACTTCAAGCATTAGCGTTGAGTCTAGAAGGACCCCCAAGCTGCATACCTGTGACTCCAGGGGGAGTGCAACCCCGCCAAGCACAGGTTGCCACCCTATACCTCGATCCGGCTTGCGATTGACCAGGAGGACCTCTGTTTATCCTCTGCATATTCGTCCTCATCCAGACCGTCACAGCGGTCAGGCACTCATTCAGCATCCAAGGGGCTTCCTTGGAATTAGGTCGAAAGGAGTAGTAGAGTTGGGCTTCTTCTGCATAGAGATGGCACCAAACTCCAAAACTCTGGATGACCTCACCCGGTGGTTTCATGTAGATGTTAAAGAGCATAGGGGACAAAATAGAACCCTGAGGGACCCCACAGGTCAAAGGCCAGGTGTCCGAGCAGGTGTCCCCCAGCTTCACCAACTGGGAGCGACCCTCCAGGAAGAACCAGAGCCACAGCAAGGCCGTGCCCCCAAGTCCCATGCCAGAGAGCCGGCTCAGAAGGATACAATGATCTCTGGTATCGAAAGACGCTGAGATGTCCAAGAGAACCAGCAGGGTCACACTCCCCCTGTCCAGCTCCCAGTAGAGGTCATCCACCAAGGCGACCAAAGTCATCTTGGTACCATGGCCAGGCCTAAACCCAGACTGTGAATGGTCTAGAAAATCAGTTTCCTCAAGGAATCCCTGGAGCTGAGAAGTGACCACCCACTCCAGCACCTTGCCCAAAAAGGAGAGGTCAGAAATTGGCCTGTAATCATTCAAAACCATAGGTTCAAGGGAGGTCTTCTGCAGAATTGGTCTTACCACAGCCTGCTTCAGACCAGATGGAAATTTCCCCTGCACCAATGATGCATTAATTATTAACACAAACCAATCTAATAACCCACCTCTGGCCAATTTAATTAGCTAGGAAGGGCAAGAGTCCAGAGCTGATGTGGTCACTCTCACAGCCCCTAGGACCCCATCCACATCATCAGGACGAACAAGCCGAAAGGAATCCCACAAGATCGGACGGAATGATGTCTCGGTTATCTCCTCTGGCATTGCATTTATGCTGGTGTCCAGCTTGAGGCGTATCTGAGCAACTTTATCTGCAAAATGCTGCACAAAATTGCAGCACTGAGCTGTTGAGTCCTCAAGGAACTCCCCCAACTCGGGAGGGTGGAGGAGCTCTCCAATGACCTGAAACAACTCAGAAGGTCTGTTTCATGCAGATGCTATGCGAGCAGTCAAGAAGGTCTTCTTGGTGTAGATCCTAATTGAGGCTCTAGACACCCCGAGATTTCCTCCAGATGCACTCTAGTCTCCTTCTCGTACGCTTCATCTCCGCCAACTCCTCAGAGAACCAAGGACAACTCCTGTGACTCTGTGCAACAAAAGGGGACTTTTGGGGCCGATTGTGTCTATCGCCCTAGCCATCTTGCTGTTATAGTGATCAACCAGGGTGTCGATAGGATCGTCACCCTCCATGACGGGAAGAACCCCAAGAGTTGTCAGAGAATTGGAGTCTCTGATTCTCTTTTCTAGAATCATTTACCTTTGGTCTGATCTTCCTTATAATCCTTATCTTTATCTTCTTTCTTATCATATGATGCTTTGTCTAGCTTTTCAATTGCATCTTCTGCCTGTATGATTTACAACATGTTTTCACTTAAGGGAACAACCTCAATATATTCTGTAGAAAGTATCCAAGCTCTGGTATATTTACAATGTTTGCTTTTTTTTGACTGAAAATTGAAGTGGTAAGTTATTACTGTCTCGGGAGCCTCATTTGTTTTTGAAATAGCATTTGAACTATTTTCAATAATTTGATTCAGAAAGGGAAAAGAGTGATAAATGTATATATAATGTGTTGTTTTAACACCTTCTTGTTCAGAATCCCAAATCTCAGGAGCCAGTGACACTGGATTTTCTGGATGCAGAGCTAGAAAACGATATTAAAGTTGAGGCAAGTTATATTCATATATTATTCTGTTATTGTGTTACCATCAGATGCTTTACTTTCTGGAATAAATAAAGATCTAGCCAATTCCTTTTGGCTGAAATTCAGTTGTTAGTACCAACCAGAGAAGACCAAATTGGTTGCTGGTTTATTATCAACAATTAATTTGATGTATATGCTCTAGCTGAGACTGATAGGCCCCTTCCACACAGCTGTATGAAATCCACATTGAACTGGATTATATGGCAGTGTGGACTCATATAATCCAGTTGAAAGCAGATACTTTGGATTATTTGCCTTGATATTCTGGGTAAAATGATGTTATGCTTCTATTCAAACATTATCTTCAGAATCATGTTATGATGAAGAAATCACATAATCAACTGAGGACCCTTCCACACAGCCATATAACCCAGAATACCAAAGCAGATAATCCACATTATCTGCTTTGAACTAAATTTTTCACAAGGGTGGTTGGAAATGGAAGTTAGCTGCTTACCATGTGATAAGCCCCCAGTTGCGCAGTGGGTTAAAGCCCTGTGCCGGCAGGACTGAAGACCAACAGGTCGCAGGTTCGAATCCGGGGAGAGGTGGATGAGCTCCCTCTATCAGCTCCAGCTCCTCATGCGGGGACATGAGAGAAGCCTCCCACAAGGATGATAAAAACATCCAATCATCCAGGCGTCCCCTGGGCAATGTCCTTGCAGACGGCCAATTCTCTCACACCAGGAGTCACTCCTGACACGACAAAAAAAAAAACAACCATGTGATAGAGGAACATATCTGTGTTGATTCCAGTGGCTGCTTCCCAGTGAGTGGGTTTTGAGGAGGTTGGGCTAGAATTCCATAACTATAGTGTTTATGCAGTATGGTGATGGAGCTATCTGGACATCATGTTTAACTTCACTTTTATTTGTGTTTTGAGGAAATGTTAAAATATTTCTGATTTCGAAAACAACTCAGGAAATGTGATTGATTCTTTTTAAGTTCAGTGAAGATTATCAAATAATTTCTATTTACTTGATTTTATTTTTAAATTCTTATAGATTCGGAAAAAAATGATAGATGGAGAAAGTGGGTATCGGACATTTAGGACACTGGTGAAATCTCAGGATGAAGTAAGATGAAGAGCCTTTGATTCTGGGAGCAAAATGAATTACAGTACAACCCCTTATCTATGGATTCAATGCCCATGGTTTCACTTACTCATGCTCCAAAGAACCCCCCCCCCCCCCCCTTCGGAAGTGTTTGTCGGCTTATCTAGGAGTGGACCTATGCTATAGAAGAAATGTAGTTCGGCATTACTTTTATGTGGCTAAACATTCACATAGCTTTATCTGTCAGATCTGTCAATTCTATTCTAGTTATTCTAATTTCACCCATTACATGTAATTGTTGTGATATGTAAATGATGGAGTTGGGGAGAGTATAGATCTGGGAACAGATGATGTAACAATTATTATTTTCAATGAATAAATAAAAATAATGTGACCTTTTTTAAAGAGTCAAAAAACAAAAAATGTACATGACTCAATACTATAGAATTATGGGCATTGTAATTTAACAAGGCCTTTAAGCCTTTTCTCCTAAATAGTACTAAACACCTTACCACGACTCTCAAAATTCCATACCACTGAGCCATGGCACTTAAAATTAGCCAAACTACATTAATTCTACAGTGTAGATGGACTCTAGGTCCTTCAATACAATTCTGGCCCAGGTATAGTCCAAATGTAAGGTTCACTACTATCTGCAGTTTCAGATGTCCACAGGGGGTCTTGGGACATATCCCCTATGAATACAGGGGTCATACTGTAGTTATTTAATCTGTATTTAGTTGTTTTTTCGGACAGAAGTACAGTAGTTTTCAGATAGCAAGCTATTGTACTGGAGAAGCCACGGACTGGAATGTGAAAGATGAAGTAAGATACTTGTGCATGAAATAGTCCCTAATAGCCCTTCAACTCAATAGAGGAAGGGCATTTTTTCTTCTTTTTGTCTTCTGCTCTTTCCTGGGATTATGTCCACAGATTTGATAGTGTGTGGTAATTCAGTATCTGAAACAGAACACATAGTTTTGTATGGAACCCTGTTTTGGACTTGATGTTATTTTTTGCATACCTACAGGACTGGTAAATAATGCTTCTAAGATTTTAAGCAAAAAGTGCTGAGAATCTTTCAGTGGTTCTATACTAGCACTGTGTTGACCCACAACTATCCCTCTTTTTTAATTCTTCAGTTTCTGTTAAACAGGCATTTTTAAATCTTAAGGAAAAATTGGAATTAATTTCCTACTAGGGGAATTTTCATTTACCTTATGATGCGGCTGAGCTTCCCTTTTGCTTCTTTGACTTGTAAGATGTCCTCTGCATGTCAGAAATGCAGCTGACATAACATCCTTTCATCCTGTGGATATTGCCAGAAGTGCACTTGAAATGACAGGTTGTATTTCTGTCTAGCTTTTCATCTTATTTTCTACTGTTTGCCTATGCATTTGCAAATAGTATACAGATTTTTCCTGGTTGAGAGAGAACGTTCACATCAAAGCAAGTCATTTCACCCACTGTTGTTTCTCAGAATATTTAGCCCCTGCTTTAGAGGACAGTGTTCTGGGAAGGATCACGGAAAATTTTGTAGAAGTCCTAAAAATCAGAATCTCTTTAATGGTTAAATTACACATAAAAAGATTGAAGACACCTGTTCTGGTGTGTTTTGCCATTACTAGTAACTGCAACAGCTTACAGATTTTATTGTAGACCTTCTTATAAATCTTTGCCGCTGGGTATAGTATTACAATATGCTACAGCTGGCAAGGAGTTATAGTTTTAAATGATGAAAACTGAATAAGCCTGCTCTTTTGGGATGCATTAACTTTGATTAAACCTCCACAGGGTGTCAGGAGACAGTCTAATGTTTTCCATCATGTGGCCTCTCATGTATTCATTCTGTGTTAAGTGAACAGATATTTTTTCAATGTTAATTTTGCACTCTTGTAATGTGCTTGCATTCATGCATCAGTTGATGCACATACCCTGTGAAGCTACTTTCTCCGTGCCCATAGGCAAGAATAAAGAAATCTAAATGCCTCATTGCCACCATGAACCTGAATATTGGAACACCCAAATGCCTACAAAAGATGGCAGGATGGGGCCAGGAAGTAGGGAGAGGTTTCCCATATTCAAATATTTTACCTGTAATGCCAGTCTAATCAATACATTATTCTGCCATTTTGAATACTCTCAGAATGTTTATTTTCTTATGTATGTCTCTTAAATGTGTATCTAAACATGTGTATAAATATTAGCTATCGAGAACCGTGTTACAACATCCATGGAAGCATAATATTTATTTATTTATTTATTTCAAAGTTTTCTATACCGAGCTTCTCACCTCTTAGAGGGACTCAGCCCGGTTTACAACCATAAAAACATACAATCAGTAAAATATCATAGTTCCTAATTACAATAACTCATTTAAAATAACAACTATATTTAAAATAACATCTTCATAACCCTGGATGTACAGATTTAAACATTTTCAAGCAAACTCTTACACCTGAATACATTTCCACCTTATTTCTGTTCGTATTGTTCTCCCAAATAGTTTCTGATTTTTTGAATAAGGAAGGATAAGCAATTAACTTTTTTCAGCTCTCACTCTAGAATCAGATCAACTTTTTAAAAACGGGAAATGATGCATATAAATATGAATAAAATATAAAATATTGAATAATAAAAGATCACACAGGTCTACCTGTTCACTTTTTCGTTATAAAGAAAGTATGCTTAAGCTATCTCAATGGGCCTTTACATATGAATGACATGTAGTCATTCCAAGATGTGAAAAAGTGCTTCAGCCCTGTAACTTATATCAATGCTGACTGAGGCATCCATGTTATTCTTGGTCTCTGCTCTAAGTCAACTCAAGACAAAAATGAAATCATTGTCATGCCATTATTCTATATTTGGAGCCAAATTGCAAAATGTATATCTTTTTTTTAGTCAAAGTAGATAGATCATATTAAACAAAATCCTATTTGAACCTTGATAAAAGCAAGAAGCAGTTCTCTAAAATTCTATCAAACATCTTGTTGGTGATATTAGAATCCTGAAGGTAATGTGATAAGGACCTTAGTGCATGCTGGATGTGTAGCTAGCCCACTTTCAACAAAAAGGTTTCTGTTTTGAAGTCTTTCACATTTCTAGAAAAGGGCGATCCAATCTCTATAAATTTCCAAACTGCTTTTCAAAAAGAAACTCTTATCCAAAAAGGGGGATATAGCCAAACCTCCTCATTTGCAATCCAGTAAATATGGTAATAGAATATCTATTCTTAGATCCTAAAGCTTTGTTAAGAAATTTGACATTGTTGCCCAATATATTTTCAGCGCTACATTGACAAAGGAAACAGAACATACACTTGGACGGCTGTAAATGGTACTGATTACAGGTAAATAACACATAGTTTAAAATATCATTTGATATCTACACTTTTTTAAAAAAAAAAACAACCTTACTTTCTTAGGACACCATTTCTTTATATTTACTTGTAATGATAAGTGTGACTCTAAAAGTTGCTTACGCCTCTATTTGTGACCTTCCACAGGACAGTCTCCTCTTCCATGGAGACCTTCTGCTGGCTAAATTTATCATCAGAAGCTTTCATTTGATTTTACATGCCACTAAACATTAGTCAGAAGACCTTGTCTGTGATGAAGTCCAGAATTAGGGAAAGTTGCTTTTTGGATTACCGTTCCCCATAGCCAAAACTCTTTGAGCTTTGGGAACGATAACTTTAAAAAGCAATTTTTCAAACTCTAGTCAAGTTCAGGTTGTGGGTGATTTTCTCAGAGACATTAATTGGCATCCTGTTAGTGACTCAACAAAGACAATATCCAGGTGCTAAGGAGGGAGATGAATGAATATTCCATAGCTGCCACTATATACACTTGCTGTAATATGAGTTATTTATCCTTATTTTCCTTTATAGAGCTAAAGAAGGCAACTATAAACAATCTTGTATATATTAGAGAGAGATGATGCCTTAGGGTGGGAATCCTCAGTCCACAGCTAGGGAGTGGGCAGGCATTATTATTATTATTATTATTATTATTATTATTATTATTCCCATATGCCGATATGAATTTTTAAACTTTTTTAAAAACATAGATTTACATATTAAAGTTATTTTTTTAAAGAAATCTGATTGAAAACTCTCATACACTGCCTTTGAAGGTTTTGTGGAAAGATGGTTTTGTGTTCAATCACTATATAACAGCAAAAAGAAAATAACATAAAAGGTAGTGCTTAGAATATTATAGAACAAAATACCAGTATAAGGTGATGCTTTGAATATGACAGTGTGCAGTCTCTGAAAATCCGACAAAAGGCCAGATATTCCTTTGCTAGTACTAATGATGGAAGGAATGTTTAAAAATATATTTCAAATTGTAAAAAAAAATATCAAGGCTTTTCCAGGATCAAGAAATGCTAATGAGAAAACTCCTGGGCTCACAAGAATTTGCCATTCAGGACTTATTTTGCACATAAATTATGTGTAGATTTTTTTGTGCAGGTCTTACCAACAATCCCTTTCATTTCCATCCCTTTCCATGGCACCCAACCTCAAATCTTAAGTGTAGCTAGGCTGTTTTTATTTGTTGCTTTGGTAAGCACAACCTTATAAACATGTGGCAACCTTAAATTGTTCCAGTGGACTTATATAGAAACTTTTTTTCCAGGTGACATGGAAATGGTTCAAGCAATTCAGAGAGAATTCTGTCTTTCAAAATTAAGACAGAATTCCCTTTCCATTACATTTCCAATTACAGGCAGTTCTCAAGTTGCAAACAAGTTCTGTAACTCCAGCCAAAAATATATACTTTTTAGATTTGGATAGCATAGGGAAGGGTGAACACCCTGTGGTGTTTGTTTTTCTGTTTGTGCCCCTGTTCAGATTATTTCATCTCACTTCCTTAGATTTTGAAAAATTTAGTTTATTATGGAAACAAGGATAGGTGACTAAGCTTCCATGGAGATGCCTTTTCCCCATGATAACTCTTTGGGAGTGAATTTCCCTTCCAAGGAGTAAATTTATTTCACTTCCTGTTGTCTCACCCCCATTCTTAAGTATGAATGATAAGCTAAGTCAGATGTTTGTAACTTGGGGACTACCTGTATTGGTATTCTATGACAGTGATTTTCGTTGGCATAAGTACAGAATTCCTATCTTATTATCTATCTCTATTTGCAGATATAAGCTCAAAGTCTTGTCTGATTTCTTTTTGAGTAGCTCTTTATCAGCTAAACTCCATGAGGTCCACATTGCAGTAGAAACATTTATACATAAAATGAAACATTTTATTTAGTAGTTTCTGTTTTGCAGTAGCTGTTAATGACAAGGAAAACACCCTTGATTTCCCTTGAGGTGATTTGGGGGAAAGTTATTGCCAAATAATTAGAAATTCTCTTCTGTGAAGTTCACATGACATTTATATTGATAAGGGTTATGTCTGGTTCAATATTATGCAGTTTTTCTGTAATGTTAATTTCTGCAGGCTTTTACTGGGAAGCATAGGTATCAAGCATTTATGTTCAGTATTAATGAAAAGTGAAAACTGCAGTAATGGGAATGCAAAGTGTGGCTCCTTTGGAGGATTTGAAAGCTCATATAAGGCCCAATAGTTATAAAACTTGGAAAACGCTTCTGAAAAAAAAACTGTGCAAGAAGTTTGAGCTTCTGAGGACTAATTGTATTCCTCCTCCTCTTATATAGTTGTTATAGTTAGCATTCATATCCAAAATATATATTAAACGAAAGGTTGAATAATATATACACTGGGCTATTTGGATGTGCAAATATTGTTGAATTACGCTTACACATCACCATTTTTCTGACATCTGTATAGAAAGACATACTATAGTCATGCAACAGATGAATATAATGTGTTTTTAGTTGATGTAATGCATCCATGACCTGAGTGAACAATAAGACCATCAGTGTTAACTATATGACTATTGCAGTTTGCTATTACTTTATCTGTAAAGAAACTGTCATATGTTGTTGTTCTTTGCCACCAAGTTTGATTTGTGGTGACCCTATAAATATGTGAGCTCCATAAGACCAAGTCAACACGAAGTCAGGACATGCAAGCTTAGGGACATAGCTTCCTTGATCGAGTCAATCTAGCTGTAATGAGAACTTCCTCTTGTTCTGTACCCTCATCTTTATGAAGCAATGCCATCTTTTCCAATGAGCCACATTGGTTCCGGATATGTCCAAAGTATGTGGCCTCAGTTTATTCGGTTTAGCTTCTTGTGAGAATTCCTGCTTTATATGCTCTTGTATCCCATTCAGTTGTCTTTTGGGCATCTGTAGTAGCTATAGATGTCTCCACCTTCATCATATTTCAGATGAGCTCATTTGCTTACTTTGAAGTTTCTTCAGTATCCAGGTTTGATAAGAAATTGGAAATACTATAGTATGGATGATTTTCACTGTCACAATTCTTTTATTCATCTTAAATATCGGATTTGCTTGGTCATAGTATATGTATAAAGTTGTTCTATGTCTATATCAATTATAACTTAGGTTTACACAGTGCATGTGATATGTACAATTCAGTTATTAATTGTTTCAATATAATGGGCAAAGTACATATAAACATAAATCAATCAGTTATGAAAACATACATAATCAACATTAAAAAATAAGTTCACATTCACAAAATGTAAATTCTCTGCAAATCCTCATAATTTCTTCTTAGGAATTATATTAAAGTTCAAACTCAGTTTTTTATATGGAATGTTATCCAATTAAAGTTCATTCCCGTGTGGATTCAAGTAAATGTTTTCCAAATAAAGTTAGTTATCATGTAGATTCAAGTGGCTGTAGGATCATCAAGTATGTGATGACAGCACTTGTCAAAATCCTTTTGTAGTATATGGCGATAGCAACTACCAAAGGTTACCGATATTGTGAACTTTGTTTCAGGAAAATTCCCCTTCCTCAGGTTGCTGCTCGATCAATTTAGTCGGAATCTTCAAAGGAATTTATAGACTAAATTCAAAGAGACAACAAAATTGAAATGCTATAGTAGCACCCAGTGGCTTACTTTTTCCTGAAGAGTAAACAGCTCTGCTCAAGGACTTTCAATAGCTGTGTGTCGGCAGGTTTTTCAAATGTGAGCAAGAAACTTCTAGGGGAGCCTCTCTTATGAAGGTACAGGTTGATTACAAAAAGCAAGAGAGATCTAGTTTACCATTCAACCTACCTGGGAAAACAGTATGTAGATTGAATATCCAAAATGCCTCTCTCGGAAGTAAAAGTCTTTTTTAATTTTGATGGGGTTGTATCATTATCTTCTCCAAAGCGCAAAATCTGAAACTAGTGTGTGTATAGGCTTTCTCACTAAAATGGGAATAAAGAGTAGAGTCAGTGGCTTTATTTCTAATGCAGGATCGATGTTCAAGAATTCTAGTTTTTAAAGATCTGGAGGTCATACCTACATATAGTAGTGCAGAGGGACACTATACTACATAGACCACTTTATCTGTATTACAGTTGGTGAAACTTAGAAGTTATATGTTGAGTTGCTTCGTGGGATGTGAGAACTGTTTCATTTGAAAAGACTGGGTGCAGCATGCACAATGTCCAAAACTCGAGTGGCAGATCCGACTTCATAGTCTCCTATACTATTAGCAAATCTAATCTCAGGGGCCACACTGCTGCACCCAATCTTTTAAAATGAAACAGTTCTCACACCCCATGAGAGAGCAGAAAGCAATAAATTTATTCAGTGAAAGTATGGTACCTGTATGCTTATAGAACTTAAATATCATTTAACTGCCATTGCAGTGTCCTATGGAATCATGGAATGTATAACTTGGTGAGGCATTCAAATTCTCTGGCTGACAATTTTAAATATGTCATGAAACTAAAAATGACAGGATTCTATTGAACCTCTGGAGTTAAAGCAGTATCTGAAAGTAATATAATTGTACTGGAAGAGATTTGTGTATCAATAATTTTGTCATTTGATTTCACATGCCTATGAAATTTGGGTGGAGTGCTCCATGCATAAATTGACCATTTATATTGATTTATGGTTTTGTTTTTACTCTTCATAACTGATTTTTTTTAATCTACAGCTTGGCCTTGGTATTACCATCCTACAGTTTTTACTATATTAAAGCCAACCTAAATGAAGCACTACTTCAGGCTAGATGTGAGTAATGTCATTTTCATCAGATCTGCATTGATACTGTGGAGTAGGTCGAGTTGTTTTTCTCCCCCTTTATTTAGAAAGTCTTAAAAGTTTGTGAAATCCACTAGCTGTTACCATGATGTATCTCCTACTCTGCCACAATGATTCTAAGTCTTTCTGTAAACGTGCAAGGTACAAAAAGTATTCTGCGCAAGCAGAATATATTCTGCTACCTAAGTTGCACTGGAAAACCTTTAACCTTCCCCATCTCCTTGTTTATGTACCTGTAGAATCATTGCTTTGCGTATCTTCTGTTACTGTCTTTTTTAAGGGTCTGAAACTGATGTTTTGAATAATCAATTTGCAAACCCTAAGTTTATAATCTGAAGACAATCAGGGCTGTTTTGCATAGTATATTTAGTAGTGCAACGTCAGTCTATATTAACTGAGGTTTGCTTAGTTTTGTATTTTGGCTGGATCCTTTTTTAATGTTAGAAGCCATGTATGTCATATGGGTGGATACAATATTGATTTTTTTGAAGTTGCTATCAAGGTGAGAAGGAAAGATGAAGCACAAGAGAAATAAAAACCTCAAAGATTTATGATACAATGTAGTCTTTCTGGTCTGAATTTATCTGAATATATGCGTAAGAGGTTCTTTCTTCTCTACATTCTGAAAGTTCAAAGAACATGTAAGAACAACAACTCTTAGGTTAATATCCAGCAATTAAATAAAGTATGCACCCATTTATGAATTTTTGACAGATTTTGTAAGCAGCCTTGAGGTCCCTGTGAGGTGAAAAAGGCAGGGTAGAAAATAAATAAATAAATAAATAAATAAATAAATAATGTCCCATCTTCATGCTTACCACCAGTGTTCAAAAATGGTTGCAACCCTTTTCAGGAGGGATATGAGGCAAGGCTTTTCCATACATGAGAAACTTCCAGTGGAGTGCTTAATCCATTAAAAATAAAAGTCTATGCCACACTTCAAACAAGGCAGGTTTCAAAGAGTTAACCATGATGAACTGACAGAAATCAAACCAATACTTTTAAATACAATATTGAGATAAATAGAATAATAAAAATCCAGCATTCCAAGTAGAAGATAGATCAGTTTAAAACCCATAATATTAATAGACTTGACCTAAGGGTTCTCGTTTGGTGGGATGGATTCCACAAGTGAAGTGTAACTATCAAGAAAGATTTGTTACCTACTGAGGGATATTCAAAGGCCAGAGCAAGTTAATACAGGAGTGAATGTACAGTATAGAATCATAGAATCAAAGAGTTGGAAGAGACCTCATGGGCCATCCAGCCCAACCCCCTGCCAAGAAGCAGGAATATTGCATTCAAATCACCCCTGACAGATGGCCATCCAGACTCTGTTTAAAAGCTTCCAAAGAAGGAGCCCCCACCACACTCCGGGGCAGAGAGTTCCACTGCTGAACGGCTCTCACAGTCAGGAAGTTCTTCCTCATGTTCAGATGGAACAGTACAGTACAACCCCTGTGTCTGTGATGAATAAGTTCCTTAGCTTACCATGATAACAAGAAACCATGGATGAAAGTAAACATTGAAATGAATGACTTTTTGCAAAAGTTACCATATAATCACCTTGGAAGACCTAGAAAATCCCTAGAGAGTTATTCTTCCTAGAAATTTGTAAATTCCTATGGGGTATGCTATACTTTTGCTGGAAGTATGCTATACTTTCAACTGAAGTATAACATACATCCACCTGGAAGACTTAGAAAATCCCTACATATGCAGGTGGATGAAAGTGTTGATACTGGTCCTGTAGATATACTGTGTCTTCAGTTACACAGATTCCAGCTACTTGTGGGTTTCACAGTAAGCACCAATTGAATTATCCTCGGGAATGGACAGATCAGTGAATCCCTTTCTAAGCATGAGAGTACGATATTTTCTCAATACCCTATCATCATCACCAGCTTAACAGATATATTTTAAACTTTCTGCTGGTTCCAGACAGTCTTTTAATATTCCACACATACATGCTTCACTACCTGTTTGAGTGAATAGAAATTATGACCAAAGTTAGATTTTCCCTGGTGTTTCTCTGCAAATATCTGCTCTTTCTTCACAACAAAGATTTCAAGGCCTGTGTTTGCCACAATATTTTGTCTCTTTATTGAGAATCTCTTCTGAGAATTAAAGTCACCATGAAGTATCTTTTACCATTTTAGGCCAGTTGCATAATTGATAACCCTATTATTACACCCAGGTTGCAAATCTATATTTGTCCAAAAACCTCTTGTGGCTCAACTGAAGGGCAGCATTCCACTTGGTTGGTCATAGACATATTTGTTTCAACAGGCTTTTGACCTTTGATCTGTTGTTTTAATTTGTGTTAGATTCCAGTTTGTTTTGTAAGCTGCTCCGAGCCCTAGGGGAGTGGCGGCATATAAGTTTGAATAATGAATAAATAAATAAATAAATAAATAAATAAAATAGTTTGTGCAAACCTATTTCAGGATTAAAAGTCAAACATATTTAAGAGTTCTCTGTCTTGCTGTTATGGATGATAGGCTAACCAAGAGAAAGTTTAAATTGCCTAAACCACCTCCCAACACCACGTATGAAGTGACCAATGTTATTGCTAGCAAAAAAAGTAAGATTGAAATCTGTTTTTGTAGAAATGTACAGGATATATATATAGAGAGAGGGGAGGGGGAACATGACATATTCCGTAATTGTTTCTCATTCTGAATTTGGGAGCAATCTGTAAAATAAGAGTGCAAGACAAATGCTTCAGGGCTGAATTTGTTAGGAACACCCTGAATCAATAGCTCCTTTATACAGACCCTTGAAATAGCTTCAGTATATAGAAGGTACATTAAAGAAATAGACAAAGGACATGTGTTCAAGTCTTCAAAATGTTTGTCTTCTCTCCAGAGTACAGCTATGCAAAAATGAACCTCTGATCTTTCTTTATGCCACAATATTTTTATTCAAGGAGCTGGTTGAATAAAATATTGGTTTGTGACCCCTTTTCTTTCCCTGTTTTTCTGTTTCCCTGCCTCCTCTTTCTGATGGATTATCACAGTGCCAAAGGGCAAGTATATTCTCATTGCTCAATTTCCCTCTGTTTACTAGTGTTGATATTTTTCCACTTATATTTCTATTCCTCCTGGTTTCTATCCTTTGTATCCTTCATTTCAAGGCTTCTCCCATGCCAGTTCTATATTATAAAGATGGAAAAATGGAGCACATACATATATTATGTCTTAAAATATTTTCAATTTATTGTTGCTGTTATTTTCTTTCTTATTTGTTTGACCCAATCACTTTCTGATTATGGAAGAAAATAATTTATTTTCCAAATATATATGCCTTAAACAATTGGATTCATCACTGAATCTGATGTTTTGGCATTTGCCAGGGGAGCTTTTGCTCAATTAAAAGTTGTGTGCCAGTTGCACCCGTACCTTGAGAAGCCAGACTAGTCCACGGTGGTCGACATTCTTGTTATATCCCATATAGACTACTGCAACACACTGTATGTGGGGCTGCCTTTTAAGACTGTTTGGAAGCTTCAAGTGGTCCATCACCGCCACTGGTTTACCGTCTGCTATTAAGCACAATTCAGAGTGCTGGCCTTAGTCTATAAAGCCCTAAATGGTTCTAGCTCAACTTATCGCTGTCCAAATCTATCTCCCTCTATAAACCATATCAGAGATTAAGATCATCTGGGGAGGCCCTGCTTTCAGTCCCACCTCCTTTTCATGTGAGGTTGGTGGGTACGAGAGATAGAGCCTTCTCGGTGGTGGCCCCTCGGCTATGGACCTCCTTCCCCAGTGAAATCAAGTCAGCCCCTCCTGGCCTTCAGGAAGCAAGAAAAACATGTCTCTGGGACCAAGCCTTTGGCCAATAGTGCTCTGCGATAAGTAGAATTATATGCAATAATGACAGGAGCAGTCTTTGACTTTGTCCTCGGATTATGTGATTTTAGAAATGTGTTTTTAATGTCTATATTGCTTTTTAATTTTTGTTTTAATGTACATGCTTAATTTCTATTATCTGTTGATGGCATCAAATTGCTGCCATTGTAAGGCTGCACTAAGTCCCCTTTGGGACTGAGAAGGGCGTGATATAAATATAGTAAATATAATGTATTGTCGAAAGCTTTCATGGCCGGAATCACTCAGTTCTTGTGGGTTTTTTCGGGCTATATGGCCATGTTCTAGAGGCATTTCTCCTAATGCCTCTAGAACATGGCCATATAGCCCGAAAAAACCCACAAGAACTGAGATAGTAAATATATTTCTTTCGTTTAGCTCATGATTCTTTTATTTCGTTTAGCTCATGATTCTTTTATTGTTAACTGATGGTTATGCTTGCTGTATCAATAATGTGCTAGTTTTAATTTGTACTAGTTGTTATATATTTTTTTTATGTTGTGTTGCTTATATCATTTCCATGAGGGTGGTACTAGTATTGTAGTCATATGAAAGCACCTTTCTCAGCTGGCATAGGGCCATGAAAGATGCTCAAAAATTGTTACCAAATGATATGTGATGTAGTTATGGTAATATTGATAGGCAAAAGAAATTGCCATGAGAGTCTAGGTGCTAAAATGTGACTTTGCTGGATTATCTTCTTACTACCTGCACAACTTAATACCTTGTTACATATAGCAAGTCTTGGTATATCCAATGTTTAGCTATGATTATTACTGATGTGACTTGGTCATCTGGGAACAAGTGTCATGTCTACATCGTCCAACTAGCCACTCCCTTTCTCACATGCTCATTGCCGATATCATCAAAACTTTCAACCATCGCTTTCTATTACATCCAAATCCAAGAATTGACAGTTTTGGTCATTCTTAAGGAAAGAGTTCCAACAAAGTTACTGTTTGAAAACCAGTGAATTCAAAGTGGTTGTTATCCAGTTGTTTTGGCTTTTACAAAGTACCAAGACTAATTTTATCCTTTATTGCTTTTTCATCTTTGTAGTTACTGAAACTCTGAAGCTAGATCGCTTTGATGAATTTGGATACACATTTTTAGCACCAAGGTTGGTCTTTTTTCCTAACATTATATTGTTAGACATTTTTTCATTAACATACTGGTGATTAGGAAATCATGAAACATGCAAATATGCATCAGATCTGTGTTAGTAATTTCACTTATTTCCCACTGATATCAGTAAGGTGGCCTTAACTAATGAAGCCATTATTATTATTATTATTATTATTATTATTATTAAATTTTATTTATATCCCGCCACCATCTCCCTGAAGGGACTTGGGCGGCTTACAAGGCACTCCAGGGTGCACATATAACACAAAATAGGTAAAAACGGTACAAAAGTATAAAACAAGACACACAAAATTACAACAACCCCCATCAACACATGTGGCATACAATCAAAATAATACAACTTGAAAACAACGGTAGACAAAAACAACTGCCGTCGACTCACAAGGTGCCAAGTGTCAGCTTCACATAATTAATTTGTCTTGTAGTTTTCAATGGGACTTTGGTTCAATTAATAAAGTCTATTCCCTCTTACAGTGAGAAATTATATTTAGAAATATTTAAATCTGAGGCTTTCAAATTCAGATACTTTTCAAGAGTGAGTGGTATCTTGCCTTAATAGCAGTTCACCACTATTTGAAATATTGCAAACCAAAGTAATCCTCAGCTATTTTGTGCTTGCATTCAAATTTGAATAAATGCTATACTTCTAACCCTGCTGCAGGCAAGAATGTATATTTCTGTATTCAATCTACTGGTTCCTGGAAATTATATTGTACAAAAATTCCCATGTTTTTTCTGCAAAGTCAGGCATGTTTCCTGTTAACAAAATTTGTTTCATTTTTAAGTAACAGTATTTTCTATGTAGAAAACAGTTTTTTTTTATTTTTTTATTTTTAAAAAAATGCACACACTTGCATTTCTAGCTAGAATAATCACATGGAATACTTTAACATGTGTGTCTTCCAAGTATCATAAAGGCATTTTTTTTAGCTGAAAAAATATTAATGGTAAATATTTTTCCATCTAAATTCCACACTATAATTTTTAGAGCCAAGAACTGCTACTAAAACAGTGGACAAGGCAGTCCCCAAGTTATGAACAAGATAGAGTTGTTCTTAACTTGAATTTGTATGTAAGTTGGAACAGGTGCTATTTTAAAGTGTACCTCCAGCTATATATATATACGTTTTGGATAGTATAGGGAAGGATTAACACATCTGCGGTGTTTGTTTTGCTGTCTATATCCCTGTTCAGAAGATTTCACCTCACTTTCTGTCTTTGTGATAATTGGATTTTGAAAAATTTGGTTTGTTATGGAAACAAGGATTGTTGCTAAAGCTTCGGTGGAGACACCTTTTCCCCATGATAACTCTTTCAGGAGTGAACTTTTTTTTTTAGTAATGAAATTAAGAAGAAATTACATCCCTATAAAATATGTGAAATACTATTCCTAAATCTTTCGGGGTTTTTGTTTGTTTGTAAAGCAATAATAATTATGTGAAGCTTAGTTTTTCCTTGTAATGACTGATAAAAAAACAGTTTGTACAATAGGTATTGAATGCAAAATTTAACCCCAAACTAAAAGACTACATTGTAAAAAAGAAAAGGTATAAGACAAAGTCCAGGCAAATATTTCTAGGAAAGGAAAGGGGGTATCAGGTATCAAATAATTCTTTATTTCATGTCAGAATATGTAAAGACTAATTTAGATACATAGTCAGTGTTTTAGTTTTATAAAGTGTACTTAATTTTACATTTTTTTCCTCCTAGAGAATACTGTGGTCCTGTGAAAATAACTGACAACAACACAGCATTTCTTCTGAATTTCAGTGAATATATTGATAGGTATACACCACAAAGTACTTTGTGTAAGTATGACCTTTTTATTATTATTAAAAGAGCTTATTTTGAGATGATAACAGTGCTAAGTGCAGGAATAGATGATTCCAATTTGGAATGTAATTATACTATTTTATGTAATGATTAGAATGCATCTGCTTATTAGATTTGTGTTTGTTGCCCCAGTATAATTGAGCATCTTTGGGTATGAAAGAATCGTATTTGAAACTATTGGACAATTCTGTCAATAGATGATAGATGAGGTATATTGACAAGGAGGATTCCTGCAGTCAAAACTCACGTTTTGTGTCTTTCTTTTGTTAGGCAATGATATGGTTATGAGAGCTTTGCTGGATGCAGGATTTACAAGTGAACTTGTTCAGAATTACTGGAGTAAGCAGGACCTGTGAGTGTTCATTTCCTCACCAACTTCCACAGCACAAGTAGACATATATTCCTGTTTGTGAATTACTGGAATATCAAAATAATATCAAAGAGCAAAAAAAAAATACATCATGGTATTCATCATGTACATAATTTAATTATTTGGTTTAAAATTTTCTAGAAAAAATCTATTTTAAATTGTGTATATAGAAGACTCCAGGAAATTCTCATTGATTTCGGTTTCTCTGTTCTGCTCTGTCATCAAATTCAATTTGATCCTGTCCCTGTCTCTCTTCCTCTCTTCTTTTCTCACAGTGAAGGAATCACAGCACGTTTTGTAGTTACTGATGGAGGAATCACAAGAGTGTATCCCAAAAGGTAAGGCTCCATTTCATTGTAGATTAGATGGCACAAACATAGATGAAACTGTGCTGATTGTCTTTAGAGGTCAGGCAACCCCTCTTCTGAGATTGGCAGTTGGTAATTGAATATTATTTACGATAGTCTTTTCAGCAGTAGTAGGCAATGCTCTTGGGATGAAGAACTCCTTACCCCATTAGATGCTTTATGCTATACTACTAAAATTCATCAGTGAGCTTTCAGTGGCCTCTGAAAATTAGAATCACCTGGAGGACTCCAAAAGACACCCCTATTTGTCTGGTGCTACCACCAATTTTGACAGTGTGGTTCTGGCAACTTTGACATAGCCACCAGTTTTGGTTGTAGTATTAGTTAGTGACTTGAAATTGTGGAGACTGTACAACACTCACCTCCAGACAGAAAGGCCAGCCAGAAGTGAGCCTTTGAATCCACTTGTCGAGGAAACCAGTGTTCTCCTTAGGCTGGCATTACTACCTGTCTACAGCAGGGAGGGGCTTAAGGAAGCCTCCTTCAGTTAGCCCTTCCCCGCTGCATTTGGTCTCTGGCTGTGCAATCCACCTTCCCACTCTCAGTTCAATATGAGTTAATACTGGTCTTACCAGGTAGGAATTTCTTTCCTTCTTTAAAGAGGTTTTTTTTTTTTTGCCTACCCAATATTAAAACCATTGAGAGTGAGGAATTTGAAGGGATGGGACTGTCATAACTAGGTGTCACTGGCAGGAAGTGTGTGGGGGGGGGGGAGATAATATGGATCGCTGTGCACCTTGACACCCCTCCCTTTTGGGGTGAAGGGGACTTTTGGATCAATCTCTATAGGTTATTTATCTTAAGGGATTCCCCAGAATATCTCCTTTGGGGCTTAACTGAGGGGTTTATTTCTCTGCTATTGGGTTCTGCGGCTCAGGAAGGAGGTCCCTAGATATGACCTTCTAGTAATGATCAGTCAGGATAGCAAACCACCACTGTGGAGTGCCCCCAGGGTCAGGTGCTTCACCCAGTGGTTGGCTTGGCAGGTAGTCAGAGAATGATACCTGGCCTCATGCCATTGTCCATATCATTGTGCTCCCCCCACAATGAGTTACTTAGTTCAATTACCAGTTTTTAATAGGTCAATAAATGGCCCATTATTTCTCCATAACACTGTGTCTGATCTCTTATTTCACGGTGGGGATTCAAATGTCTTTAAATGGGCCACCATTGACCAATGGGCCATATGATTTCAATCCTTGCTTTACACAAAATCGAAATATTGAATCTCTTAAGTGTAATAGTTTCATTCTAATGTTTTCCATTTCGATCCTCAGGATGCTCAGGCCCAGGTTTTTAAAATAAAGGGGGCACTTAATCTGCAGTCTAAAACCATGACTTTCATAAATTCTAAAATTTGATATTTTAGTAGTCTTTTTCAATTATTAAGATCAAGGATATGTAAGGAATATGCAGGACCATAAATACTTGCCCTACCCACTTGCTTCCTCAGTACCTGAAGAGATAAGAAGTTGCATTTGATTCAAATGACTAGAACTCTTTATGCAGTTCAGGATTTACATATGGAAGGTTCCCTTATTAGTAAATTCTATTAGCATTCAACATGGGAAGGCCAAAAATTGAGAAATAAAATATGGCACACATAAGGATGCTTTGAGGAGGTGAACATGCACATTGTCTTTCATGCATTTATGTAATCTATTCAGACTTACATAGAATTTGTTTTAAAATTAAATCAGTCTAAATGTTACATATGCATCAGCACTACTGCCCAGTTTGTTTGGATCTAACAACAACAGCAACAACAACAACTTTATTTATACCCCACCACCATCTCCCCAAGGGGACTCGGAGTGGCTTACATGAGGCCAAGCCCCAACAATAATACATCAGTAAAAACAACACAGGCAAAGCAAAATAAAATACATAAAAATATTATAAATAACATATAAGCGATAACACAAGACATTTAAAACACAAGAATCCAACACTGTGGGCAGGGCCAAATGTAATAGATTAAAAATTTAAAACACTGGGTGTGAGCAGAGATGGAGTATATCTAAACAGGGTTTGTTTTTTTTAAGAGGGTAATATAGGATAATTACTCCAATGGGTAGATAAAGTGCTTCAGAGGACATATTGCAGAATGATGGTCAGATCAGGGTGTTGTTTCCTTTATTCAAGGAAGGCACATTGGAACAGCCAAGTTTTCAAGCTCCTCCTAAAGACTGCCAGTGTGGGGGTTTGCCTGATGTCCTTGGGGAGTGAGTTCCAGAGTCGAGGGGCCACCATAGAGAAGTCCCTCTCCCTCGGCCCCACGAGTCACATCTGTGAAGGGAGTGGGAGTGAGAGCAGGGCCTCTCCAGATGATCAAAGAGATTGTGTGGGTTCGTAAATAGAAATGTGATCACATAGGTAGACAGGTCCCAAACCGTTCAGGGCTTTGTAGGTGAGAACCTGCACCTTGAATTGGGACTGGAAAATGAACGGCAACCAATGGAGCTCCTTAAACGGGGGTTGACCGCTCCTTGTAAGTCGCTCCAGTTAATAATCTGGCTGCCGCCTGTTGGACCAACAGAAATTTCCAAGCCATCCTCAAGGGCAGCCCCACGTAGAGTGCATCGCAATAATCCAACCTCGGAAGGATTATATGCATCTTTAGCAACTGAAGAAGATGGAAATACAGTCACACGCATAAACACATAGAGAGGACCCTATAACTAGGATCTAGTGAGTTTATTTAGATTTAGCCTTTGGAATTATTGGCTTTAAAAACAAATCAATTCATATTGTTTCTCACACACTTCTTTTCAAAGTATGCCCCATTTCAAAGGTGGTTGGCTGTATGATTGATTCTTAAAGAAAGTTAATTCTATAAGAATTCCTCCACATTCTCATTAAAATCTATTTTTGAGTTAATTAAATTTTATTTTTGATATAGTTTTGTAAATTGATTTGTTTCCTTTTTTAAGGACCTAAGTGCTATTTTTGCATGAAAAATGTATGTGACAGACACTTCTTTATAAAACATGTTCTCTCTCTCTGTGTGTGTGTATTCTATGCGAAAAAATTTTTTACAATGTAATATGATGCATTAGATGAAAAATTTTGTATTGCATACATTTTTTCTGAAGAGATTTCATCAGCCCATAAAAAGTTAAGCAACATTGTCTTAGGGCATTGATCTCTGGAATTACTCTTATGCCTAAAAAGGGTTTTCACAGTTTATCAAGATGCCATTTAGAATGAAATTAAATAGAAATAAATAATTGTAAACTTTTTCAAGTATTGCTCACTGACATTGTAGTTTTTGCTCAGATATTCATTGAGCTCAGTTCAGTGGGCTTACTCTTTGCTGCAGTTCTAGAAATAATTCTATGAGCATAACCTATAATTAATACAATGAGACTTGCCTTTGAATAGACATGTATAGAATTGATCTGGAAGTTCCAAGAAAATATCTGGAAAAAAACAAAAAAGTGACAGTTTTGTTTCATGTTCAGTGCAGGTGAATATTGGACAGAAAATGCTGAAACATATGAACAGAGTTTCTACAAGAGAAGCTTGGATAATGAAAACTATGTCTTTACAGCTCCCTTCTATAATAGTAAGTCAATTGTCAAGCCAAAAAGGACCTTATTAAAGTTGGGGAGTAAGCAATCATTGACAAATTTTTGTACATCCTTTCATGTATTACATTTCTATTACCTATTACCATTTGTAAATTTAGCATTCTATTGATTTCTTCTTCAATCATTCTTCAGTTTTCTTGCACTTGATCGCATTCCCATATTATATGATTAAACACTTCTCCTTGTTGACAACCATGCCAACACCTGTCCTTTGTCCCTGGTAAAAAACGTGAAAGTGAAAGCTGTGCAGGAGTTCTGTACCATTTTTGTAACATTTTCCTTCTTGCTTCCCATAATACATTGTACTTTTCTTTTGCTATATTACTTATTTCCTTTTGGATGTCTTCCCTCTCAATTTCCATGTCCATTCTCCACGTTTGGAAAATGTCCTCTATTATTTCTTCCTTTACTGTTATGATTTGTTCGTATAGATCTCCTGCCACCTTCTTTTCCTCTCTCAAAGATTTCCTAATCACCTCCTCAAATGGACTATATTGTTCTCTAATTTTTCCCTCCATCTAAAAATTTCTTGTCTTACAGCCCAGCTTTGAATCCAGTTCCCAGACTCTATCCAATTCTGATTTTTTTTTGTTCTACAGGGTTTCTATCTTCTCTATACAAATCCTTTACTTTCAATTAATCTCAATGTTCTGCCTATTATTTCATCATTATTATAATTAATTTGCCAAATAGCTGCTATCTTATTCTCATCAGCTGGACTTAACTTATTCTTTCTTTTTTCTACACTTTATTATTCCTTTAAAGGGTTCCTTAAATTCTGTTTCCTCTCTCCTCTTCCATTCCCTAAATAGTATTTCTTTTCATTTAGTGTTATTTATTATTTTCTCTATATTTACCCTTTTCTTCCATATACTGTATTTCCAGCAATCTTTGGATTTGAAACGCATCATGATAGACTTCTAAACTGGGAATCCCCCAGTGTCCCTCTTCCTCTTTTGTATGTAACCATTTGTCTCTTATACTCCTTTTCTTCTGCCCGTTTTCTTATTCTTCTGTCCCATGTCTTTAATGTTTTCATCTCTGCTGTATTTGGTAATGTTTGGAATAAATATAATAATTTTGGTATTATAAAATTTTAATGCCCTCATTCTGTCCACTCTTATTAATGTTTTCCCTTCCCAATCCTTAAGTTATTTCTCTATTACTTTCCATTTTTGTTTGTAATTCCCCTTAACGATACTCTTCGGGTTTTTATATGTCCATACTCCTAAATATTTTATCTTCTTTAATCTCCTGCCTGTGAATTTATCTGGGTCTTTCCTTCCATCTTATAAGTCTTGTGGGTCTCTGCCTCACTCCCTATCATAGAATCATAGAATCATAGAATCAAAGAGTTGGAAGAGACCTCATGGGCCATCCAGTCCAACCCCCTGCCAAGAAGCAGGAATATTGCATTCAAATCACCCCTGACAGATGGCCATCCAGCCTCTGTTTAAAAGCTTCCAAAGAAGGAGCCTCCACCACACTCCGGGGCAGAGAGTTCCACTGCTGAACGGCTCTCACAGTCAGGAAGTTCTTACTATGTTCAGATGGAATCTCCTCTCTTGTAGTTTGAAGCCATTGTTCCGCGTCCTAGTCTCCAGAAAGCAGAAAACAAGCTTGCTCCCTCCTCCCTGTGACTTCCTCTCACATATTTATACATGGCTATCATATCTCCTCTCAGCCTTCTCTTCTTCAGGCTAAACAGCCCAGCTCCTTAAGCCGCTCCTCATAGGGCTTGTTCTCCAGACCTTGATCATTTTAGTCGCCCTCCTCTGGACACATTCCAGCTTGTCAATATCTCTCTTGAATTGTGGTGCCCAGAATTGGACACAATATTCCAGGTGTGGTCTAACCAAAGTGGAATAGAGGGGTAGCATTACTTCCCTAGATCTAGACACTATGCTCCTATTGATGCAGGCCAAAATCCCATTGGCTTTTTTTGCTGCCACATCACATTGTTGGCTCATGTTTAACTTGTTGTCCACGAGGACTCCAATATCTTTTTCACACGTACTGCTCTCGAGCCAGGCTGCATCCCCCATTCTGTATCTTTGCATTTCATTTTTTTCTGCCTAAGTGGAGTATCTTGCATTTGTCCCTGTTGAACTTCATTTTGTTAGTTTTGGCCCATCTCTCTAATCTGTTCAGATCGTTTTGAATTCTGCTCCTGTCCTCTGGAGTATTGGCTATCCCTCCCAATTTGGTGTCATCTGCAAACTTGATGATCATGCCTTCTAGCCCTTCATCTAAGTCATTAATAAAGATGTTGAACAGGACCGGGCCCAAAACACACACATCTTGGTATTTCCTTTTCTTCTCATCTGGGAATCTGGGGGTTTTCTCCTCATCTTAGGAGGCTGGGAGGTTTTTAATTCCCTTCCCATCTTGGGCATTTTGGAGGGGAGGGTTTACCTCCCCCCTTCATCCTTTTGAGTTGTCACAGTGAGAGAGGTGTAGAGTCTAGACTGGATTCTTCTCCTCTTCCACTCATTTTGCCTCCTGAATTATGTGTCTCATTTGTGCTTCATAATCCCCCTTTCTTCAGTGCCTCACTTTGGTACTGACACATCTGCCCATGAAGGTCCTGGCCATGATAGTTTATTTCCCTTTGAATTCTTTACACAGAGGAGAAGAGGTATTGCTAAAACATACGAAATTGTTTTAAAATAAATTTATAATTTATAATCAGTAAAGGTTTGATTTATATATGTATTTTATATATCTGGAGTTACATGCACATTTCTCACACAAAACAGGGTAGCAAGTTGAAAAAAGTTAAAGAAGTCCTATTCTAGATAGTTGAATATCATAACCAAGGTAGCAAGAAATGGGTGTTGTGGTTTCTATCCACACTAGGCAAATATGGAGAAAGGATGTGGGCAGATTGATATCTGGAAGATTTCCATGAAGTAATCCTACTTTAAATTTCTCAAAGTTTTCTCAATCCTAGTAATAGTAACCATACAATAAACAGTAGAAAATGATTTGGGGAAATTGCAGTTGTGTGTGTGTGTAGCTTAATTCTAATTTAGGTTAAGGTGGTTTCCAATATTAACATTTCTTTCAAAAATTCTGTTTAATGCTGATGCAATAAAAATCTTCACCATTGTACTTACATGGAATTCTGAAATGTGGTGCCTCCTGTGATGACAGGTACAAAGAATTTCAGTCAAGGCTTTATCTAACTCATTGATTCATGGCTGATACTTTTTTAAATAAACTTTGATTTATGTCCTAGTTATCTATTATGCTTTTTTCTCTCCTCAAAATGCAGGAAGTATATATGAAGATGGTATTATGGTAAGCAAGGCTGTGCAAATAGATATCAATGGAAAACTTCTAAAGCCTGCAGGTAAGAAAGAAACTGTCACTCATTATTGGTTGTCATCTGCTGTGGCATCCCTGCTATGAAATAACTTCCCCTAGATGCCCAACTGGCATCAACAATCACGTCCAAACATTTATATATTTGGGGCCTAATAGTTTTTATCTTATTTGTACATTTTCAGTGGCTTATATTATTGCAAATTTTACCCAAAATGTACATGGTTTTAAATTGTCTTGTTCTATGTTTTAAATCATGCTTTTAATGTTTTGAAATTATTTTTATTGCTTTAAACTACCATAAACTAATTTTATTATAGCCTTAGCTATAGGGGATGGGGCATGATTTTTATAATATAAATAAACAGTACAATGTGGTTAGACAATTTGTTGTAATGCAAAATCCCTCATTTCCTTCTGAATGAGTTCCTGTGCCCTAGCTATGCAGGCATTCTCACAGATTACATATCTATGTTAGTCTGGGGTGGGGACATTCTGGAGTCCAATTATTGAACTCAGATAATGTGTTCTGTTGCAAAAGACAAGAAAATGTTACGTGTTTGCATGTTCCTGTTTCCTTTACTTTCTCCATGTTTCGTATATTTGGTTAGTTGTTGGAGTGAAAATAAATGTAACCACCTGGATGGATAATTTCACCAAGATCACCACAAAGAATCAGATTCAGGTAAAGAATTTTCATATTTATTTATTTATCGTGTCATCCACAACCAGAACACTGTATTACATTTCTAAAAGAACAAAACAAACAAACAGATTTAAAAAAACAATTTTGCAAACTTCGTAGCTGATTAAATGTCCTTTGACCAGTATCTGGCCACTTGGAGTGCCTCTGGTGTTGCCGCAAGAAGGTCCTCCATTGTGCATGTGGCAGGGCCCAGGTTGCATTGCAGCAGGTGGTCAGTGGTTTGCTCTTCTCCACACTTGCATGTTGTGGATTCAACTTTGTAGCTCCATTTCTTAAGATTGGCTCTGCAAGAATTTTCATGCCTCTATGTGAATGCTTAAGTGTACTTAAGTGTACTGAATATTCTGGTTCAAATTTTCCAGGATGGTTTGGAATGCCCTTGTCTGAACTTTACTTCCAACTGTAAATACTGATTTGAGTATTTGCATACAAACAAGGTTGTTCCCAGACAGGGCCCAAATTCTCACCAAAATGGGTTAAAACAAACTGCTTTGGCACACATTTGGGTCCACACAAAACCCGGGCTTTTCTGGAGAGTGTCCTTCCAGTACCTACCAGGGGGCACCCAGATACCCAGAAGCCCTTACCAAACTAGCTTTAAAATTTGCAAAGCTTATCAGGCTACCATTAAGCTCTTCCTGCATGCCTCTTGGCACGTAGAAATAACATGTCAGGAGGACAGGGCGGGGAGGGGAGTGATTTTCTTCTTTGCCCCCTCCCCACCTCCTGTTTTTTTAAAGGCTTTTAAAACTTTTAAAGCTGTTTTGGGGGGATTTGGGGAAGGGGTGGAAGCCCTCTCAGTTCTCCAGGCTCAAGTCTGACAGGCCCTTCTTTTTGGGCCCTTTCTGGAAGGGCCCATAAATGGCTAGCAACATTATTCCTGCCTTATACAACAAGAAGAATGTTTTTGTGAATAAATTAAGTGCTCATGAGATTAGGTGCCTCTGATCAATTACTCATGAGTGCATTTTGGCCAAGGAAGGCCCTGCTTAATTCAAAATTCCTGCCTCTGTTTCACACACTTTTCCTGCCACCTTCTTTTCATTTTATTATACTTTGAAGCTTACTCAAACTTCTAAGAAACTTACAGGGGAGAAAGGCAGGAAGAACAATAGGAGGCCTGGTTTCTTCTTGCCTATCATGCTGTAAAGCATTCCGATGCTGTGGCTTGAGCACCTTTCAAGGAGAAGAAAGAGGTGCTTCCCTATTCCCACGGAATAGTGGTAGAAATCAAGAATTTTCATGAAAGGTCTAACTATTTTTCATGAAAGGTCTAACTATATTATGGGAAGATTTTGGCAAGCTGGATGGATCCAAAAGTCTTCCTTAATTTTTTCAAGGGATTAGACCTTCTTCAAGGTCTAATCCCTTGAAGAAGTAACAGTCCACATACAGTATGATACAAGTATGTATCCTGTAGGTGTTTGAGCAGAAGGAAGTACTTTGTTCTGGAAAAGACATTCCAATTTTTTCCAATTAGTTATGCCAAGGTTTCTCAAACTTTTTTGACTGCAGAGTCTTTTTTGAAGCAAAAGTTTCTCGTTGAGCCCAAAGAAATGTTTATATATTATATTATATTATTATATATTATATAATGTGTGTGTGTGTGTGTGTATCAGACATGGGCAAACTTTTGGACATATTATCGGGTCAATAGTACATTGATGGAGAGTATTTGTATGAACAAATTGAAAAAAATGGACAAATTCCAATGCACATTGCATGTATCTCATTTTTAGTGCAAAAGAAAAGAAAAGAACAATGTAATATTTAAAATGAAGAATAATTTTAACCCCAGGGACCATCCAGTCCAACTCTCTTTTGCCATGCAGAAATAGCACAAAGCACCCCTGGCAGATGACAATCCAGCCTTCGTAGTAGTAGTAGTAGTAGTAGTAGTAGTAGTAGTAGTAGTAGTAATAGTAATAGGACAACCCTAGGGGCCATCCAGCCCAGCCCCCTTCTGGAGGAGTCTATATAAAAAGGGCTTATTTGCCATTGTCAATAGAAAAAGGAAGAACAAGGAGGCAATACAGCCTTTGTGAGGAAAAGATGGAATAATCCTGACAGGGGATAGGGAAAAGGCAGAACTACTTAATGCCGTCTTTGCCTCAGTCTTCTCACAAAAAAGAAAGCCATCCTCAACCTCAGCAACATGGAGTGGATGAAGGATTCGGGGAAAATGAACCCGGGGAGAGCTCATTAATGCTTCCTCTTCATTCTGGAAAGAAGTGACGAGTGGAGTGTCACAGGGTTCCCTCCTGGGCCTCGTCTTGTTCAACATCTTTATTAATGACTTAGATGAAGGTTTAGACGGCATGATCATCAAGTTTGCAAATGACACCAAATTGGGAGGGATCGCTAATACCCCATAAGACAGGAGCAGAATTCAAAATGATCTTAACAGATTAGAGAGATGGGCCAAAACTAACAAAATGAAGTTCAACAGGAACAAATGCAAGATACTCCACTTAGGAAGAAAAAATGAAATGCAAAGATACAGAATGGGGGATGCCTGGTTTGACAGCAGTATGCGTGAACAAGATCTTGGAGTCCTTGTGGACAACAAGTTAAACATGAGCCAACAATGTGATGTGGCAGCAAAAAAAGCCAGTGGGATTTTGGCCTGCATCAATAGGAGTATAGTGTCTAGATCCAGGGAAGTCATGCTACCTCTCTATTCTACCTTGGTTAGACCACACCTGGAATATTGTGTTCAGTTCTGAGCACCACAATTGAAGAGAGATATTGACAAGCTGGAATGTGTCCAGAGGAGGGCGACTGAAATTATCAAGGGTATGGAGAACAAGCCTTATGAGGAATGGCTTAAAGAGCTGGGCATGTTTAGCCTGAAGAAAAGGCTGAGAGGAGACATGATGACCATATATAAATATGTGAGGGAGCAAGCTTGTTTTCTGCTGCCCTGGAGTCTAGGATGTGGAACAATGGCTCTAAACTACAGGAAAGGAGATTCCACTTGAAAATTAGGAAGAACTTCCTAACTGTGAGAGCCATTCAGCAATGGAACTCTGCCCCAGAGTGTGGTGGAGGCTCCTTCTTTGGAGGCTTTTAAACAAAGGCTGGATGGCTATCTGTTGGGGCTGCTTTGAATGTGATTTTCCTGCTTCTTGGCAGGGGGTTAGACTGGATGGCCCATGAGGTCTCTTCCAACTCTGTGCTTCTATGATCTATCTATCTATCTATCTATCTATCTATCTATCTATCTAAGCTTTGGATAGCACAGGGAAGAGTTAACAACCCTGTGGTGTTTGTTTTGCTGTCTGTGCCCCTATTCAGAAGATTTCACTTCACTTTCTTTTCCTGTGATAATTGGATTTTGAAAAAAATTGTCTTGTTATGGAAAGAAGGATTGGTAATAAAGCTTTAGTTGAGACACCTTTCCCCCATGATAACTCTTCCAGGAGTAAATTTCTCTTCCTAGGGGTAGATTTCTCTCACTTTGTGTTGTTTCACCCCCATTCTTAACTTAGAGTAATTTGTAAGATGTTTGTAACTTGGGGATTGCCTGTACACCATTTGTCAAACATAAGAACAATAAAAGATTTGTAAAGTGTATATAGTTAAGGCTCCTAGTAGATATTTTGAAAGTATGAGAACACAGGAAGAGATGGAGACTGAGAAATGCTAGTGAATTTAGACAAAAATTACTGCACTTCCCAAATATTCCATATTGTCAAATTTGACTGGGTGGCAAAAGTACCATTATCTCAGCTACTACAAGTAGCTTTGATTGTTATAATTATTTAATAAAGTGCTTTATGTTGATCTTTTTCAGTGCAAAAGCGAACTGTGTGGATGTGAAAAAAATAGTGTGGTAAGCCAAAATCTTTTGCAGACATTTAAGCTGTTCTTTAGGGTAATGTTTTGCAGGTCAGAGATTCTTCTTTGCCAACTACATTTGCCTGTATTTCATTGGAGTGTGGTAAGGTGCAGGAAGTTTGTAGACTAAGCAAAGGGTGCGCTTCTCCCTTGATTTTTTTAAGGGTAAAGGTGTATCCTAGGTCCTAGGTCAATCCACAAGCCGCCCCATGCTGTTAGGTTCACACCTAGGTAATATATTTGTAGTGTTTCGAACACTTAAATATGGACTGGTATCTTGTTAGTGCTTTAAGCATATTTTAAGCCCAACTCATGCTGGCATATGTCTTTTTTTTAATTGGTTAGGAGCTTTATATTCTACCCCAACTTTTGCAATAACCAAAGCCTCACTGTTACATAATAACATTTTTTATTTATTTGTTTGTTTGTTTATTTACGATATTTCTACCCCACCTTTCTCAAACCTGAAGGTGATTCAAGTTGGCTTTACAGCATAGGCAGCTATTCAATGTCATTAAAACAATGTAAAATTACAATAAACATTTAAAGCAGAATTATAAAATACATTCATTAAAACTTTCAAAACATATAAAACCACTACCTTCACTATTAGTTGCCTTTGGGCTGAAAAAGGCAGTATATAAATATAGTAAGTAAGTAAGTAAGTAAATAAATAAATAAATAAATAATTTTATTCTTATATCCCGCAACCATCTTCCTGAAGGGACTCGGGGCGTATTACAGACAGCACAAAGTGCCTAAAAACAACACATGCACATATAAAAACATCAAGTTGCAATCCTCTAACCATGGTCATAAATTACTGTAACCATGGCTAGGCTGTAAACATTAAGAATAAAATAAGTGCCAGATGCAGTAATGGAGAGAGAGTATGGGATAAAGTGCAGGATGTGCTACTACTACACAGGACAATGAGGGGGTAAATATTCTCAAAGGCTTGATTGAAGAGCCACATCTTCAAGTCCCTACAAAAGGAGGACAGTGTAGGAGCCTATCTAATCTCCTTGGAGATGGAATTCCAAAGTTGTGGGGCCACCACTGAGAAAGCCCTTTCGCTCGTCCCCGCCAACTGTGCTTATGATTGTGGTGGGACTAAGAGGAGGGCCTCCCCAGCAGATCTTAGAGCCTGTGTCGGTTCATGGGGGGTGAGGTGGGATGGGGTGGATGCGGTCATGAAGATAGGTTGGACCCAAGCTGTTTAGGGCTTCATAGGTGATTAGTAGCAGTTTGAATTGGGACCAGAAACTTATCAGCAGCCAATGGAGCTGCTTTAGTAGGTGCATCATGTGCTCCTTATAGCTGGCTTGTTAGTAGTCTCACTGCTGATCTTTGAACCAATTGCAGTTTTCAAGCTGTTCTCAAAGGCAGCCCCACATAGAGTGCATTACAGTAATCCAGTCTTGATTAAGGCATGGACCAAATCTGGCTTCTTGAGGTACGGTCGCAGCTGGCGCACAAGCTTTAACTATGTGAAGGCCCTCCTGGTCACCGCTGATACCTAAGCTTCACATGTCAAGGCTGAGTCCAAGAGGACCCCCAGATTGTGGACCTGTGTCCTCAGGGGGAGTGTAACCCCATCAAGCACAACTTGCCACCCTATACCCCAATCAGCCTCACGACTGACCAGGAGGACCTCTGTCTTGTCTGGATTAAGCTTTAACTTGTTAGCCCTCATTCAGTCCATCACAACTGCCAGGCACTGGTCCAGGATCCAAGGGGCTTTCTTGGGTTTCAGTGGAAAGGAGTTGTGTGTCATCGGTGGACAGATGGCACTGAACTCCAAACTCTGGATGACCTCTTCCAGTGGTTTCATGTAGAAGAAGCATGGGAATGGAATCTTGCGGGATCCCATAGATCAGAGGTCAGAGGTCCGAGCAGGTGTCCCCCAGCTTCACCAACTGGGCGAGATCCTCCAGGAAGGAGCGGAACCACTGCAGTGCCCGAGACCCTTTCAAGACAGCTGCTCCAGAAGGATACCCATGGTCGATGATATTGAAAGCCACTGTGATGTCAACAAGACCCAACAAGGACACACTCCCCCATTGAGCTATCTGTGAAGGTCATCAATGAAGGCGACCAAACCTGTTTCCATTCCACGACCAGGCCTAAAATCAGACTGTGAGGGATCAAGATAATGAGTTTCATCCAAGAATGCCTGGAGCTGAGAAGCCACCACCCACTCTAGAACCTTACCCCAAAAGGGAAGGTTAAATATGGGCCTGTAGTTATTTAATATCAAGGAGTCCAGGGATGCCATCTTCAAAACTGTCCCTTCTCCAATCCGGAATTTATAATCCTCATGAACCACTAAGCCAATCAAGAAGGGCAAGGATCCAGAGCACAAGTGGTCCCTCTCACAATTCCAAGAATCTTGTCCACATCATTAGGCTAAATATACTGAAACAAATCCATCAAAACAGGACAGACAGACAGACATTTAGTAGGGGTGGGCAACCACGGAAAAATTTGTTTCTAAACTCGATTCGTTTTTTGGGGTTTTTTGCGTTTCGGTATTTAAAAGAATTCCGAATGTTTTCTTTAAAAAAGTTCGATATTCGAATACGAAACGAATACGAATCGATTCGTTAATGGCGGACGCGACCGCGCAATACGCTAAAAAACCTCCATATGGGACAGGGGGAACTTCTGAAGCTTTCCTCTCCCTCTGTTGTTGACTGTTGGTGTGATATTTATAATTTTTTTTCACTGATTAAACAAACAACAGCTATAAAACTTGCCCCAGACATGCGGAAATAATAACGAAACGATTTCGAAATGATTTCGAAACAAATATGAACCGAATACGAAGCAATTACGAAACGAATTGAAAAATTCGTTTCGTTTTTTAGATGCTCCTGAATGGTTCGTTATCGCTTCGTAACAAAAAAAATAACGAATTTTTAACGAATTACGAAATTACGAAACGAAACCGCCCAGCCCTAACATTTAGCAGTTACAACCTTCAACATGACTGGTAAAGAGTGAGGAGGATCACAGATGTGTCTACGGACCTCATCACACTGGAGAATGAATCCACTTTAAATCCGGTTGCTGCCTCCTGCAGAATTCTGGAGTTTGTAGTTTAGGGAGGGGCCTTTAACAGCCTCACTAAACTACAAACCCCAGGTTTCTGCAGGAAGCAGAAACCGGATTTAAAGTGGATTCATTTTTTTAGTGGGATGAAGTATTAAGTCTCCATAGAATGTGTTTATCATCTATCAGGATGTATGGAAGACCTTGGTGTGTGAGATATTCATTCTGTAATAGCTATGGGACATATCTCTAAGGGCCCTTCCAGACAGGCCTTATATTTCAGGATCTAATCCCAGGTTTTCTGCTTTAAATTGGATTATATGAGTCCACAATGCCAGATAATCTGGGATAAACAAAAAACCTGGAATCAGATCCTAGGATATAGGGCTTGCCTGGAAACCCTGTCTCTCCACCAGTCACAGAATGGCCATGAGATGAGGTTTCTGCAGCACCTAAACAGTGAGGACATGAAATGTTTTGTGGCAGATATTACATGGCTACATAGGATCTTGACCATCATATTTAAGTGCTTTATTAATCTCTTGGTGTTGCTAGAAGAGAAAAAAATGACTACAGATTTAGAAATCTTTCTATATGAGCCCTATGTTTAATTAACAATTTGAAAATTTTCTTTAAAATTTACCATTGAAAACTGAATGGAATACCAGAACATGTTAGGTTAAAATATGGCCTCTTAGACTTCACAGAGTGAAGATGAGAAGCGTTCACTCCCCCCTTCAAAACATCTCCTAGCAAACCTATCAAATATTATTATTACTGCTGCTGGTTATGAAATCACAAGAGTATAGCAGAAAAGGTGTGGAACACTAGTTTTTTTCTTTTTTAAATGGCACATGAAGAGCACTTGTAATCATTTGTAAACTAGAATCATTTGTAAACTATGATCCTAGCCCTTTCTCATGGTCTCTTCTCTTGTTTCTTTATGATAGCATGTTGACTGTGTAATCCTTGATGATGGGGGATTTCTTTTGATGACAAATCAGGAAGATTATATTCCAGAGGTACGTGTCATGTCTTAGGTCCTCCTACATCTTAGACCCCTTCCACACTGCCATATAAAACCCAGATTATCTACTTTGAGCTGGATTATATGACAATGTAGACACATATAATCCAGTTCAAAGTGGATAATGTGGATTTTCTGCTATGATAATCTGGATTATATGGCAGTGTAGAAGGGGTCTTAGACTCTCTAAGCTATTAATATCAGGTACTCTTTTGATTGTAACAAACCAAATCAATGTGTTTCATAATGGCATACATTGACACAATGTACATATTCCATAATCACATATATAATGACCATATGGCATAGCCAGTATTCAAAATTAGGGTTACATTTAAGGTTAGAGGTCCTGTTATATCTGCCACAAGGACTGCAGTGAAAACATCACATCATCACTAGTCCAAGTGCAAGCTACATAAAGTGTGGGGAGAATAATGATCCAGAAAGTTGTTTATGAATTACTGAAATAATGAATAAAATTAGCCACAAGCAGTCATAAATGTTATGAAGTATAATCAACAAGCAATGTGGTGTTTTGACAGCTGATAGTCAACAGTGGGATGACAGCACTATTTGGTACAGGTTTCTAAACAATACAAGTAGAATATTTACAAAGTTCCTTGGCACTGCAGTGCTTGATGTGATGTGCATAGCAATGCTAATTCTGGTCCTGATATCGATAAAAAGATGTTGTGGTTTCAAGGTTTCCTTCCCACAATTTATTATCTTCAATAGAAAAAAAATCAATTGTTGTCAAGCACAAATTTGGGAAATATTGTTTTGAATGCTTAAACCTGGAGCAAAACCTTGTATTGCTTTATAGTATGGAAGCACAGAATATAATATGAAGGAATGTTTTGCATAATCTTTTGTGCTCGTGCTATAATTGTTCACTTTAATTAAAAACACTGATATCAAATATTTATCAATATGGAAAGGTAACATGGCAGTCCAAAATTAAGACAGGGATTACTACTTAGATATGGTGTAGGTATGCAGAAATATATAACTTTGCAAATTAAAATAAACATTATTTTGAAATATTCTTCAAAATATTAAACCCAGCTAGCTTATAGGATTTCTGAGATCCAAGGCATGTGGAATATGGAGAACACAGTGATGTGAAAACTTATAGTTGCATCACAATATAATAGTTATCCTCCATTTTCCTGCATCTTTTGACATAAGAACAATTTCTCATTGTATACTCCATATCTACACTTAACTGTAAAACTCCAGAAATGTCCACTGAGGTGGAGTTTATGTGTAGCTGAACATTATGCCCAGTTTTTTGCACTGCCCAGGAGATTATTTGTAAAACTAAAATTAGTGCACTAACCATGCTGTTATAGTCCCCAACTCCCAGAAACCCCAGGCAGGTTGGACAGCAGCCAGGAATTTTGGAAATTGCAGTCCAAAACATCTGGAGGACCAAAGATTTGGTAATCATTGCTTTGCATTAAAGTCCCATAAAAAGCCAAACTGCTGATTGCCTCCAAAGTTCTGGCTATCACGTTGTTTGGCAAACAAATTAAACGTAGTAAAATGCTTAAGCATGTCTAAAGCTAATAATATTTCTGTTTTCTTGAACAAATCTCTATTTTATCCACTAGATTGGAAAATTCTTTGGTGAGATTGATCCAGGCCTGATGCGCAATCTCATTAATATGTCTTTATATGCCTTCAACAAGTCTTACGATTATCAGTCTCAGTGTGATCCAGAAGAAGAGCCAAGGCAAGGAGCTGGACTCCGATCTGTCAATGTGGTAAGTGTCCTTTCAACTTTCTCATGTTGTTGCTAAGAGGGGTAAGTATTTGGAAATCCTTATAATATTTAACTTTCCCCTTTGTTTTCTAGCCTACAATAGCAGAGATTTTACATCTGGGGTGGTGGGCTTCTGCAGCTGCATGGTAAGTTGAATTTTTCAGGTAGGTTCTGTAATGATGAATGCAGGGGGTTAGACTGGATGGCCCACAAGGTCTCTTTCAACGGAATGATACTATGATTCTAAGGTCCTGACCAATCCTTGTTTGCTGTATAAATTTATCTCAATGAGATTTCTCCCCCTCCGTATATTTTCTGTTTTAGGTTTATGATAATTAGCATATCTCTAATGTTTTAGCTGAGTATTCAATTATATCTCAGCAGAACAGAGAGAGACACATTTTGTTACAGAAATTGCAGAAACTTTGACATTAGTAACACAATTTGCCTTTTGAAATTAAAATGCTTTTCTGTGTGGGACAATAATAATAATAATATAAACAGAAACAACATTGAAGTCAAAAGAGGCTATTGGTGCCAGCATCAAAGTAAGATATCTAGGTTCAGTTTAGACCCCCCCCCCCAAATATGGAAGTTTTTCTTGAGATGCTTTATCTTTGGTGAAATGTGAATATGTTGTTAAGTTTGGATGAGAATGAAGGGATGAAAAAAACTGAAAAAAATCAATGGAGTACAGCTGTAGAAAACTGGGAAACCACTATTTTGTGGAATACCAAATCTCCCTTGTTAATAATTTATTTTTCTGGGGGTTTGCTATGATCCCAGTTCTTCGCCAATTCACGTGGAAGATTTAGAAATATCATTCTGCAATTAATGGAGGTGCACTTTTCCCCCAGTGTTACGTTCTTTCTATTCCTTTATTGCATAGGTTATGTGCCATCTAAGCAACAGAAGGTATGCAGTCCTTTGGTGCTGTGTTACCCCCATATGAATAAGAGTTGGTTCATATTAATAATCTGCATCAAGAATTAAAATACACAAATAAAGTATGAACAGCTATGCCAAAGTGCACTATCCCAACTGCCTGAAACTTATCTGGAAAGCCAAAAAACAAAATGAGAGACAACCAGTGCACTAGAGCAGATTCACATAGATCAGTGGTATCAAACTCCATTTCAAATGAGGCCACAACAGCCTTATGGTTGCCTTAAAAGGACAATTGAATCTGTGTATGGATAGATTACTTACCTGTAACCATGTTTCTTTAAGTAGTCATCTGTGAAATTCACACCTGATGTAGCTGCACCTGTTACAGCTGTTTCAAACTCTTGCAAAAAGCTCTTCAATTAAGAGTCTCCAACCCTGTCCACCCTCCCATGATATAATGCGGTGGCCAGGGTTGGAGCTTCAGTTCCAGTGAAACAAAGCAGCAGCCGAGAACCAAAGCATGACAACAGTGGGGAGGATGGACGGGTTATGCAAATTTCACAGATGATCACTCAAAGAAACACGATTACAGATAAGCAACCTTGCCTTCTTCTATATGGTCTCTGCGATATACACACCTGATGTAGACTAGCAAGCTACCCTCAGCGGAGGAGGATGTCATGCAAGTACCAAGAATAACACAGCTCCCCCAAAGGCTGTAATTCTTTTGGCTTGAACATCACATTTATAATGGGTGATTCAGGTGGCTGGGGTGACCCAAATCACTGCCCAACAATTGTCCTCTAGTAAAATGCCCTTTAGAAATACTGTGGAGGTTGATACTATCCTAGTGGAATGGTCTCTCCTGTGGACAGGTAAGTCTTGACCAGATAACTGCTATGCTAAGCAAATCACAGCCACAATCCAGCCCGACAGCCTCTGTGTGGAGAGAAGTAGGCCTGCTATATCCTTACGGTACTGTACAGCCAATTTGTCTTTTGAAAAGAAGCTATTCTTTCAACATAAAAGGCTAAGGCTCAACGGACATCAAGCAGGTGGAAAAACCATTCCACTAGTGAAGAAAGAGGACTATGCCGGGAGGACTATTTCTTGAGAAACATGGAACCAAGAGGTGTGCCGAGCTGAAGTAATGGCCATAAAAAAGCTGTCTTTCAAGAAGGATGAGATACATCAGTGATTGCCAGCAGTTCAAATTGTGACTTTGTAAGAGCTGATAATACCAGTTCCAACTTCTATGTTGATTCTACTGGCATTGCCTGAGGTCAGAAATTCTTAAGACCTTGAAGAAGTATTGACTAAAGGGTTGGAAAAAACAGATGGAAGACCTGCTGCTTTTCTGTAAGATGAGATAGCTGCTAAATAGCACTTCAATGATGCAAAAGAAAGCCCTGAGTCAGATAGGTAGAGGAGAAAGTTGAGAAGCAATGAGGCAGGTGCTGAGTGGGGGGGTGCATCCCGCTGCTGGCAAAATGTGGTCCCATTTATAATGATAAGATAGTTTCATGGAAGGCCTGTGGGTCAAGTCCAAGATGTGCCTCACTGATTGAGATAGTTCTGTGGTGAGATGTGCCATGCCATCAGGTGAAGATGGTGAACCTCGGCACAGATGTTCTGCCTGTCATTGCAAATGAGGAAGATGGTGGACCTCGGCATGGATGTTCTGCCCGTCATTGCAAATGAGAAAATTTCATTCTGTGACGGCAGAATGAAATTTCCACTGGACAGGAAAAGAAGGGCGGCAAACCAAGGCTGTTGAGGCCATCATGGAGTCCTAATGATACAGTCAGCCTGGTTGGACTCGAGCTGTGACATGACCCTGGTGAGTATCAGCAGAGGCAGAAACAGTTAACAAAAAGTCCAATCCTGAAGAAAAGCATCCCTGAGGCAGCCCATGTGTTGCCGAAGGCACACCCCATATCACTGGCAGTTAGTGTTGAGTGAGGATGCAAACAGGTCCACCTGTGGAAGAGGGCATTGGCCTCCTGAGGGTAAATGGACCACTCATGGGTAGATTGGGTGGTATGGCTGAGCAGGTCGGCCTGGGAATTCTCTGTGCCTGGAATGTGGATGTCCCTGGCAATACATCAGTCCCAGATTTTGAGTGTCAAGGAAAGGTCCCAACCGGTGGCAAAGTAATCAGTGTTATAGCCATGACTAAGTTCAGGACCCAGGCACCTGATGTGATATGCCGCCATGCATGCAGGTAAGGTGCTAACTGATCTCCAAAAGTAGGGTATAGAGAAGTGTGTGGGATAGAGCTCCCCTGAAAACTCCCAAGTGAAGTATAAATGATATTGTCTCTGAAAGAGGGGAAAAGTTTTGTGCTGAAACGCCACCTAGAGAGATCTGGCTGCCTCTTCTTACCCTGCTGATAGCCTCTGGCATCAACAAATGATGCCACCCTATCCCAAAGGATCATTTGATATGAGACCATATAAGCCTGATAGTGAGTCATTCTGGTTACTAGGCCCGCAGATAAACATACCTTTCTGTCATAAATAACTTTTCAATAACTCTAAAGCATAGAGTTATTTCCAGTGTGAGGGGATATATCAGAACTTTTACAGTTTTACACAAAGAATTGGATATACAAACATACAGATTCTATGGAAGTACATTGGATTTACAAACACCCTACATTGGCTAACAAACAAAAGGGGTCTATATTTTCACTCAACACACATATTCATGCATCCATCACCATGCATACAAGTATTACCATATAATTTTCTCCCTCCTTGGAGAAGAATCTGTTAGCCCAGACCCTGCTTCCCTGCAGCCTGCCAACACAGTTTCAAAAGTTCTCTAAAACGTCAAAATGCCAAAGATCAACTTCCTGTTTTCCATACAGAAGAACCTGACTCTCTGCAATTTATCATGACTCCAAATGCACTCCTTCCTTTTCCCTTCCGAAAGAAGCGCAAAGTGTACAGAATCCTGCTTTCTCATAGCATATCTGACACTCTCCATACAGAGAGGCAGGTGAACAGCTCCACTGTCTGCCACAATTTCTGGAATGTCATATAGTCACTTATATAGCAATCTTTCACTGATGTTGTCCCAAAGTTGTAAATTAATTATAGTTGTCTTCCATCCTGGCTCCATTGCAGTTTCCTGGCCAGGTGTTGATTCTTCTTGATTGGTATTAGCCTTATGTTGACTTCCTTCTTATCACTGTAAACATTTCTCTTATCACTGTCACAGTTCTTATCATACTTACTATGGCAGGTCAACCATTTCAGTTCTCATTAGCAACTCATTACAATTCCTCAAGCAGGTAGTTTGTCATTGGTTAGACCACACCTGGAATATTGTGTCCAATTCTGGGCACCATAATTCAAGAGAGATATTGACAAGCTGGAATGTGTCCAGAGGAGGGCGACTAAAATGATCAAGGGTCTGGAGAACATGCCCTATGAGGAGCGGCTTAAGGAGCTGGGCGTGTTTAGCCTGAAGAAGAGAAGGCTGAGAGGAGATATGATAGCCATGTATAAATATGTGAGAGGAAGCCACAGGGAGGAGGGAGCAAGCTTGTTTTCTGCTTCCTTGGAGACTAGGACGCGGAACAATGGCTTCAAACTACAAGAGAGGAGATTCCATCTGAACACGAGGAAGAACTTCCTGACTGTGAGAGCCGTTCAGCAGTGGAACTCTCTGCCCCGGAGTGTGGTGGAGGCTCCTTCTTTGGAAGCTTTTAAACAGAGGCTGGATGGCCATCTGTCAGGGGTGATTTGATTGCAATATTCCTTCTTGGCAGGGGGTTGGACTGGATGGCCCATGAGGTCTCTCAACTCTTTGATTTGATTCTATGGGTGATTGTGAAATGTCCACCCGATAGAGCACACCTATGTGCCTGGTGATGGCTGGAACAATGGCTGGAGCTGAGCCCTGAGCCCTGGCTAAATGCAAAAGATATGGCAAAGCTGGTAAAACCGTAGTTGCTGGCACATTTTGTGGTTCTGCTGGAATATAGGGTCATCAATCTGTTTGAGAGTTGAAGCTGCAAACAGTTTTAAAACTGCATCCTAGACCCCTGCCCATCCTGGCTTCTAAAGGAGGCCAGAGGGGGATTGGCCGAGTGGGTGAAGGT